GTATAAAATGTGAAGCAATGTTACTCGGATCCTGGACCGCCCAGCACGATCGTGTTTGCCACAATCCTAGATACCTTGGGACGAGATTCCAGCTCCTTTTGCCTTCAAACGGGCCCGCCGCATGAAAAAAAGTCCCCATATAAGGGCGTTTGTGAGCCCGGGAAGCTGCGAAATCCGTACCGGTATAAAATGTGAAGCAATGTTACTCGGATCCTGGACCGCCCAGCACGATCGTGTTTGCCACAATCCTAGATACCTTGGGACGAGATTCCAGCTCCTTTTGCCTTCAAACGGGCCCGCCGCATGAAAAAAAGTCCCCATATAAGGGCGTTTGTGAGCCCGGGAAGCTGCGAAATCCGTACCGGTATAAAATGTGAAGCAATGTTACTCGGATCCTGGACCGCCCAGCACGATCGTGTTTGCCACAATCCTAGATACCTTGGGACGAGATTCCAGCTCTTTTTGCCTTCAAACGGGCCCGCCGCATGAAAAACCGTCCCCATATAAGGGCGTTTGTGAGCCCGGGAAGCTGCGAAATCCGTACCAGTATAAAATGTGAAGCAATGTTACTCGGATCTTGGACCGCCCAGTACGATCGTATTTGCCACATTCCTAGATACCTTGGGACGAGATTCCAGCTCTTTTTGCCTTCAAACGGGCCCGCCGCATGAAAAACCGTCCCCATATAAGGGCGTTTGTGAGCCCGGGAAGCTGCGAAATCCGTACCGGTATAAAATGTGAAGCAATGTTACTCGGGTCCTGGACTGCCCAGCACGATCGTGTTTGCCACAATCCTAGATACCTTGGGACGAGATTCCAGCTCCTTTTGCCTTCAAACGGGCCCGCCGCATGAAAAAAAGTCCCCATATAAGGGCGTTTGTGAGCCCGGGAAGCTGCGAAATCCGTACCGGTATAAAATGTGAAGCAATGTTACTCGGATCCTGGACCGCCCAGCACGATCGTGTTTGCCACAATCCTAGATACCTTGGGACGAGATTCCAGCTCTTTTTGCCTTCAAACGGGCCCGCCGCATGAAAAACCGTCCCCATATAAGGGCGTTTGTGAGCCCGGGAAGCTGCGAAATCCGTACCAGTATAAAATGTGAAGCAATGTTACTCGGATCTTGGACCGCCCAGTACGATCGTATTTGCCACATTCCTAGATACCTTGGGACGAGATTCCAGCTCTTTTTGCCTTCAAACGGGCCCGCCGCATGAAAAACCGTCCCCATATAAGGGCGTTTGTGAGCCCGGGAAGCTGCGAAATCCGTACCGGTATAAAATGTGAAGCAATGTTACTCGGGTCCTGGACTGCCCAGCACGATCGTGTTTGCCACAATCCTAGATACCTTGGGACGAGATTCCAGCTCCTTTTGCCTTCAAACGGGCCCGCCGCATGAAAAAAAGTCCCCATATAAGGGCGTTTGTGAGCCCGGGAAGCTGCGAAATCCGTACCGGTATAAAATGTGAAGCAATGTTACTCGGATCCTGGACCGCCCAGCACGATCGTGTTTGCCACAATCCTAGATACCTTGGGACGAGATTCCAGCTCCTTTTGCCTTCAAACGGGCCCGCCGCATGAAAAAAAGTCCCCATATAAGGGCGTTTGTGAGCCTGGGAAGCTGCGAAATCCGTACCGGTATAAAATGTGAAGCAATGTTACTCGGATCCTGGACCGCCCAGCACGATCGTGTTTGCCACAATCCTAGATACCTTGGGACGAGATTCGAACTCTTTTTGCCTTCAAACGGGCCCGCCGCATGAAAAACTGTCCCCATATAAGGGCGTTTGTGAGCCCGGGAAGCTGCGAAATCCGTACCAGTATATAATGTGAAGCAATGTTACTCGGATCTTGGACCGCCTAGTACGATCGTATTTGCCACATTCCTATATACCTTGGGACGAGATTCCAGCTCTTTTTGCCTTCAAACGGGCCCGCCGCATGAAAAAACGTCCCCATATAAGGGCGTTTGTGAGCCCAGGAAGCTGCGAAGTCCGTACCGGTATAAAATGTGAAGCAATGTTACTCGGATCCTGAACCGCCCAGCACGATCGTGTTTGCCACAATCCTAGATACCTTGGGACGAGATTCCAGCTCTTTTTGTAAAACCCTCGTTCTAGGCGTTTGTAACCCATAAAAAACCCACACTGGCGTAAAACATGGAGCAATTCGTTAAATGTCATGTGTACGCATGTCCAATCGTTCTTGGCTCACTCCTACGCACTTTTTAGCATCGTTTCAGGACCATGCACTCACAAATCTGCTCCTCAGAGCAAAGAAAACTGTTTGTTCTCGGCGTTTGTAGCCCCGGAACGCATAAAAAAATCTACGCATGTGTAGAATATGAAGTATTAGGCTATTTTTGTTACAGGACCAATTGCTCAGCCCTGTAAAAAAATGGCTTAAATAAACGGCCAATGTTCCTAATAAAAAATTGGAATCAGCCTAGGGGTAAAAAAGAAGCCTAATTTTATGCTGAATAAGCGTAAAAAGGCTGAAGTTTAGATGACAAGTTCCTTCCATGATGTCAGACTTTAGCATAAAGCAGAAGTTCCTTACAGTTTGCACGAAATACCAGTCTCTAGTTTGCAACGTTACTTTGTCGGGACGTCCTGCCAGACCTCGATATGCGATCATAATCCTGTCCGTCGCCCATCACGCGGGGCCCTCCGTGGCATCACGATAGCCGTGCTGTGTATCATCCGTGCGTCGCCATCTTCACAACTCTCACCACACCACTGCGGAAAGTTCGCTGCATATTTTCCTCCCCCCTCGCCCTTGCGCGTAGCTCCGTTGCCGTCGCGCTGACTGCGCGTCACCGAAGCATCCGCTCCTCCGCCCCATGGCGTCAGTGCTGCGCGCGCGCGTGCTCTCAGGCGCTCTGCGGCTACGCGCGGCTGCGCCCAAGGCAGCCGCGAAAGGCGCGAAGAAGGGAAAAGGCGACGCTGCTGCTTCAGGTGCGGGCGCGAGGTGGTTGATGCGTGAAGAGCGGGGTTGATGCGTGAAGAGCGGGGTTGATGCGTGAAGAGCGGGGTTGATGCGTGAAGAGCGGGGTGGAAAGGGTTGCGCGATGCCGTGAGCAGCAGAGCCGCGATCCGACCATCTCATGCCGCCCCATTTTCCGTGCACCCTCCCTCTTTTCCCGCAGACGCCGCCCGCGCGTCGTCGGTGCCAGTGGAGGTGCGCGCGGCGGCAGTGGTGGGCGGCAACATCCTGAAGGCGGGCTCCGACCCCCCCGTGCTGCCCGACAGGTGCGCTACACGCGGGGGACGCGGGCAGGGCAGGGCAGGGGAGGGGAGGGGAGGGGCGCGATGGCAGGGACGCGAGAGGAGGAGAGGCGGAGAGGTGAAGGGTGAGGTTGGTTTGCAGGTCGCGTGCTCCATGGCATCACCAGCATGGCCTCGCGTGCTCCATGGCATCACCAGCATTGACTCGCGGCGTGCAGTTTCTTGCACTTGCTCGCCTCCTCTCTGTTGCCTTCCGTGTAGCGAGCAGTGCGCACTTGCAGTGGCTTGCTTCAGGATGCCATCGGAAGCGGATTGATTGCACACGGTGTATCAGTGTGCGTCCCTCTTCGGGTGTGTGCGTCCTTCCATGGGTGTGTGCATGCGTGCGTGCGTGCGTGCGTGCGTGCGTGCGTGCGTGCGTGCGTGCGTGCGTGCGTGCGTGCGTGCAGTGAGTACCCCGAGTGGCTGTGGACGCTGCTGGACCGCCAGGCGCCGCTGAGCGAGCTCAAGAGGAAGAGAATTGAGGACATGGGCATGGCGGAGGTGAGGCATGGGCATGGCGGAGGTGAGGCATGGGCATGGCGGAGGTGAGGCATGGGCATGGCGGAGGTGAGGCATGGGCATGGCGGAGGTGAGGCATGGGCATGGCGGAGGTGAGGCATGGGCATGGCGGAGGTGAGGCATGGGCATGGCGGAGGTGAGGCATGGGCATGGCGGAGGTGAGGCATGGGCATGGCGGAGGTGAGGCGTGGGCATGGCGTAGGTGCGGCATGGCGTTGGTAGATGGTCAAGTAGGTACATGCAGTATATGTTCACGTACCCTATGCATGGCATGCTTCTTAATCTGGCTCCTGTGGTTGTGCTGTGTGTGTTGTGTATGTTCGTGTGTGTTCGTGTGTGTTCGAGTGTGTTCGTGTCTGTGGTGTGTGTGGTATGTGTGTGGCGTGTGTGGTGTCTTCATGTGTGTGTGGAATGTGTGTGCTGTGAGAGGAGCAGTTGGAGCGCCTGGTGAAGTTGGACAACCGGGACAGAATACGTGCCACTAATGCTTCCAGAGCCAAGGCATAACCACCGCCCGGGCATAACCACCGCCCGGGCATAACCTGCCTGCTGCTGCAGCCAAGGCATACTGAGAGCCAGGCACACATAGCCTTGGACTGCCTGCCACCAGTGCATTAGCATACGCCGGAGGTAGAGAGTACGGCTAACCACACCCTGCCATTCTTGGCAAGCGGCGAAGAGTTCTGAGAGTTGCGGTCTGCCTTGCAAAGAGCAAGACCGACTATTCATACTGGTATCCAGTGAGGATTATCTGGCTTGGGCAGAGTCTGTTGCGTAACCCAGAGCCCTAAAATGATGGAATCTGGCTTTCTTGCAGTCTGTTTTGGTTGGTTGGTTGGTTTAGCGACTGGGTACATACCATGCAACACATTTGCCCTCATCATAGCTAGCCTCCATCCAGCTTGTTTAGTTTGTCCAGACATGTACAAAGCCACTTCTATTTCCTGTGTAGATCTCATTCCTATCTTCATCATAAAACAGTGCTGTAACGTCTTCCAGTGCCTCCTTTACGGTCGAGTGGACGGACTTTGATTTGGCTTGAGCCGACTCTGAATCCGATGATATTTTAGCCAGAAGTTTTCCCGTGAGGATGTTGCTGATGTTGATGCTGCCCACTGCATACAAGAGGCATGATGCAGGGTGGCAGAGAGGCGGGCAAGGAGGATGAGGTGGATAGACAGCCCATGAAGAGCTTACAGTAAACAGAGGGCATTAGAATGAGAGACAGGCACGGGGAGGTGGTGTGGACTGACCATGGGGGGCGTGGGAGGGGTGGTGGTGCTTGCAGTAGGAGATGATGAGGTCCTGGTCGGAGGTGATGTAGATGTTGTTGGTGTTGCAGTCGGGGTACCACAGCTCGTGGTCCTCAAACGCCGTCACCATCTCCCCGCGGAAGTTCCACACGGCGACAGCACGGTTGCGGAAGGTGAGGAAGAGCTGGTTCTCGTACAGGAAGATGAACGCCGAGGGCGTCATGAACTCCGTGCGGCTCACTTGCGTCTCCTCCCGCGTGCGCACCTGCCCACCACCGCACGGAGGGGGGTTACAGTGCAGCGATGATGTTGTGTTGAGACAGATGGCAAGGTAGATCGGGGCATGAGGGACCAAATCCATGCGAACGATTCACCGCACGGGTTACAAGCAGGCGCACCGCAGCAAAGGCAGCAAAGAGCAATGGGCAAGGATAGGGGTTGGCAGGGAGCGGAAGAGGAAGGGAGAGGAGCACGGACGTCGAGGATGTGGAGGTTGTCGTTCTCCTGCTTGACGAGCAGCTTCTCGTTGAACTGCTCAATGAAGTCCACCTTCTTGCCGCGCTGCAGCAGCTGCACAAACGACGCCAGCACCGCCCCGTCCTCTATCGACAGGATCTTGAGCGGCACGTGCCCCTCCGCGCGGTTGTAGATCAGCAGCATGATGCCCGGACTGCACCGCGCACGGTGCATGGCAGGCAGTGGATGGTGGATGGCAGAAAGCGGATGGCAGGTGGGCAGGATGGGTTGAGACAACCCAAAAGTGGTGAATGCTATACGGACTGAAAGCACAACAGGCACATACGATGGAGGCTCTTTTGAACTTGGCACAGGTCTGGTCCTGACCTGATTTTTATTTCCTGAATGTTGCTGTCGGGCACACTGTAGAGGAGAGTGTAGTTGCGCAGATCAAACACCTTGTACATGCTGCACCCCGCACAAAACATACGCATCCACACGCACTCAAACGATTTCACACAAGTTAACGGCTGTTCTGCGCATGCAACCATGAGGCACAGCAAGGACAGACAGTGCAAAGCAAGTGGCAGCTACGTGGTTGCGGCTGTGCAGATGGGCAAGCACATGAGTACCAAAGCCAGCTTGCAGTGAGCGCATGAGCGCATGTGCAGCACAGGGGGGAGGGGAGCAGCATACCCGTTATCAGCGGAGTAGGTGAGGACCTTGCCGTTGACGTCATCAAACTCCACAAAGCCCGGCCAGCGCAGCGACTCCGACTCAAACAGCGCAAAGCCCTCGCTGGGCCGCCCCCTCCGGATGTACCTGCAGGGCACGCGCAGCACCGCGCACACACCACGTGGAGCGGACCACACCACACACGGGCAGGGCCTTGTGACTTCCGCGCACGTGAGAATTGGATGGGCGGCAGAAGGAGCAGAGCAGGGGGGGCGCAGAGTGGGGGAGGGAGAAGCGGTGACAGGCGAACGACGCAGCGGAATAAAGCGATAGTTCAAAAGACGCCTCTCCAAAAGGCGGAGAGAGAACATGAGGAAGGGGATGAAGGAAAACGGAGGCAGAGGAGGGTAGCGGGGAAGCAGACACGGACACAAGGATTGGGAGGACAGTCAGGGGCGCACTCGAGCGGGGTACTTCTGCATTTGAGCGAGCTGAAGTTGTCCTGCGCGTAGACGGAGACGGTGATGAGCGATTCGTTGTTCTTGTTGAAGAAGAGGCTCCGAATCACCTCCTCCGACCCCACGTTCATGTAGCACAGCCGCCGCCGCGACTCTGCCGCCACCGCAATCACGCACAGCAGAAACGAGGCACAGCAGCAGAATAGGCTGAGTCGACTGACACGGAACGCGCTTGAGCAAAAGGAAAACGGAACATGGAAACCAAGGATAGGTAGGCGAACCTAAGCAGATGGCAGCGCATGCTCCGGAGTGCGCGAGCGTGAAGAGCAGATCCTTGGCCGCCACGATCTCCACGATCCGCGATCGCCGCTTCAGAAAAGACAGCCGCTCCACCTGCGCCGCCTTGGCGTCGAACGTGTCGTATTCTCCCTGCACGCGCACCCACGGCATCGCACGGTCGACTCACAAAACTCATTCAATCCGCGCGCACTGCTCGCCGAGCGGATGGTAAGGCAGGAGGAACTCTACAGAAAGGAGGTTCGTGCGGACGAAGTTGCACGAACGAACAACGGCATGTCAAAGTGGGGATGGGTACTGAGAGCAGGGGCAACCGCCACGCATCAACACGGGCGCCGAGGGAACTCGCGTCCACGTGCGAACGTATTTAGGGTTGACACGAGGTGAAGCTCGCGCATGAAGGCGGAGGTCCTCACTGCGAGGCGCCTCAACGGTCGCACCTGGAGGCTGAAGTTCCTGAACTTCTCCTCCGAGCTCGTGCGCTTGAACGCCCAGTTTCCTCTCGCGCTCACTTCTCGCCGCGCTAGCTTCTTCAGCGAGCTCGCTCGTCTCTCCTGCGCCGGCCGACTGCCTGCCTGGACCCGCTTGATGGCCGGCTGACTGCTCTGACCTATTTTCCCTTGCCCAGGCCCAGACCTATATTCCATAACGATGGCCCGGCCCTTCGTACGGTTCGCCTCACGGTAAAAACGCGGAATTTAGACTCATTGCCGGAACGAAGCCATTGCTACGTGGTATGCTATGTGTGGAATTGTCTAGCACTTTGCTTTGGTTTGGTGACACCCCCAGATGTTCGCTAGAAAGCTCCTGCGCACACAGCAGAATGTACTGCCTACTTGTTGCCTTGTATGATTGCTCTCTGATGCTCCTGCAACTCCCGCTGAGGGAGAAACTTTTGCGGGGAGCATCCCGCAACTCCCGCTCCTCGATTTCCATACTGACCCTCGGATATATTTGACGACGGACGACCCTCCGATTAGCATCTCTCATTTCGTTCCCAATCCAACGGCGGAGTCGGAGAATTTCAGCGATTCGCTTGTAACATCGGATACAGGCCGGACAGGTTCGTATGAGACTACACCAATAAAGAGATGATAAGTATATTTCGTAAAGAGATGATGTTGCGCTTCACAGCGTGTTACAAAACATCTTCTCAAACTTTATAACGTCTTAAAAAATAAAATAATGAACATGGTGCGTCTTCCTAAGCCCTTAATTTTGCTCATTTAGATTTGTTTTCCTAAATGGTGAACAGCCACATCATACATTGTAAATACTACAGAGAATCCTTGTATAGGGCTGACACGCAGTTGCTCTGGTACCCGCGGTTCGTTGATTGGCTGGTTCAGTCTTGGAGGCATCGACTGACACCCCTCCCTCCCATTCATGGCTGGTCTACAAGCGTGTAGACTTCCAGGCTCGGTGAGTCCAAGCCGAGCCTGATAACACAACTGACGAGACGACGGGATTTGCATTAGCCGGCACTGTTTCTTTGGGACCACATAGAGCACTTCAGTAGGACCCTCCCTGCTTTTTTGGGACCGAAGCCCTGTGACCACATAGTAGCCGCCATCTCAGTGGCGTGCAGCCTTCATTCACCAATCCCTCCTGCTAATCCGGCTTCAGCTTCTCTCTCCGCGTTGGCCCTTCCGTGGTCGTCGTCGCTAGCGTGCACGGCGGCGCCATTGGATTCATCGGCAGTCCACGAACGAGCGCACGATCCCGCACTCCGTCTCCTTACCTCCCCCCTTGCCGCACCGCGCACGGCTGGTTGAGGCGCGGTCGCGCGCGGCGCAGGATGGACTCGCCCATGGCGGCGGCCACGGGGCGGCAGAGATCATCTGCTGTTAAGATGGTGCTGGCGGCGCTCTTTGTCGCGGTCTGCATGTTCGTGCTCCAATCTAGAGATTCGACTCCCATGCAGGTGGGGCGCTGCAGGCTCACTTGTTTCCCAGAGTGCGTCGAGCTGATCGCGGGGTTCGCGTCCGATCCCGTTCCGTACCCGCTACCACACCCCTCCCCGCATTCACTCCTCGTATGCTACGTCCAACTGTGCGCGTGTTCCAACTGCGCGCGTGTTCCAACTGTGTCCCACGCCTCCCTGTGTGCCCCCCCTCTCTGCCTGTGCGTGTCGGTGCGCGCGTGTGGCGGTGCGTCAGTTCCGCGTGCGCGAGGCGGGGGTGACGCACGTGCTGGTGACGGGCGGCGCGGGGTTCATCGGCTCACACGCGTCGCTGCACCTCCTCACGTCCGGCCACCGCGTCACCATTGTTGTGAGTCACGTCCACTTTAGCGTGCGTCACGATTCTCGTATGCCGCATGCAACTCTCCTGCGCCTTCTCCCGCCCATGCGCCCCTCTCCACTCCAGCGCCACCTCTTCGCCTCCTCACCCTCTCCCCACTCTCCTCCCATTTCCCACTGCATGTGTGTGTGCGTGCGTGTGCCTATGTGTGCCTGTGCATGTGCCTGTGCATGTGCCTGTGCCTGTGCCTGTGGCTATGCCTGCGCCTGTGCCTACGTCTGCGCGTATGTGTGCGCATGTGCACGGCAGGACAACCTATCGCGGGGCAACTGGGGCGCGGTGCAGGTGCTGCAGCGCATAGCACCGGAGGGGCGGCTGCAGTTCATCAATGCGGACCTGGGGGACCCGCGCAAGGTCTGCTCCCCTGTCCCCATGCATGCGCGCACTGCCCTACCATGCATCATGCGCACATGGCCACGTGGCATGCGCTCTTTCCCGTACACCGTTTTTATTGCACCCCTGGAAGCACCGCCGCCCCCTTGAACTTGAAGCACGGCTGTGCGCCGTGCGTGCCTGTGTGTGTGTGGGGGGGGTGGATGGGTGGGTCTGTGCGGCAGGTAGAGGCGGTGTTTGCGAGCAACGCCATCGACGTGGTGATGCACTTCGCTGCCGTCGCTTATGTGGGCGAGAGCATGCAGGAGCCGCTCAGGTGAGCTGCATGGGGGGTGTGGTGGGCGGGAATTGAGCGACCTGTGGGGCGAGAGAGGTGGTCGCGTGGTAGAGAATGGCAGGGGAGGTTGTAGGGAAAGGGGACGTATGGAATGGGGAGTGGCACTTGAACAGGTTGGCAGCCATATCACTGACATCCACCTCTCACACTGGCCCCTGGGGGTCCAGGTACCGCTATTGCCATCCAACACACCCATCTCCCAATCCCCCCCCACCAAACCCCCATCCCTCCCTCCCCCCTCCCCCACCCGTTGGTTGTGCGGACCTATTTTCACGTGACATGGGGCGCGGGGCATGTGCATGCGCGGCACATGGGGGAGGTGAGTCGCAAGCATTGTTGGCACGGGACATGGAGCAAGTTCTGCAGAGCGAGAGGTGGCAGCGTGGAGGAGAGAATGGCAGGAGGGGATGTACGGTAGGGGGCTGGCACTTGCCCCATCCCACGTCGCACACTGGCCTCTCGCGGTCATGGCTCTGCAACTGCCGTCCATTACACTCATCTCGCTCTCCTCCTGCTTATTTGACATGGGGCATGGTGCATGCGTGCATGCACGGCACAGGTACTACCACAACGTGACGGCCAACACACTGACGCTGGTGGAGGTTATGGGGCGGCACGGCGTGACACAGCTCATCTACAGCAGCACGTGCGCCACGTATGGCGAACCCAAGACCATGCCCATCACTGAGGATACTGTGCAGGTGACCCCACCACCATGCCCATCACTGAGGATACTGTGCAGGTGACCCCACCACCATGCCCATCACTGAGGATACTGTGCAGGTGACCCCACCACCATGCCCATCACTGAGGATACTGTGCAGGTGACCCCACCACCATGCCCATCACTGAGGATACTGTGCAGGTGACCCCACCACCATGCCCATCACTGAGGACACTGTGCAGGTGACCCCACCACCATGCCCATCACTGAGGATACTGTGCAGGTGACCCCTCCACCATGCCCATCACTGAGGACACTGTGCAGGTGACCCCTCCACCATGCCCATCACTGAGGATACTGTGCAGGTGACCCCACCACCATGCCCATCACTGAGGATACTGTGCAGGTGACCCCACCACCATGCCCATCACTGAGGATACTGTGCAGGTGACCCCACCACCATGCCCATCACTGAGGATACTGTGCAGGTGACCCCACCACCATGCCCATCACTGAGGATACTGTGCAGGTGACCCCTCCACCATGCCCATCACTGAGGATACTGTGCAGGTGACCCCACCACCATGCCCATCACTGAGGATACTGTGCAGGTGACCCCACCACCATGCCCATCACTGAGGATACTGTGCAGGTGACCCCACCACCATGCCCATCACTGAGGATACTGTGCAGGTGACCCCACCACCATGCCCATCACCCACCACGCTGGGTCGGCCATGGTACGCCAATGCCACCAGAGCACAGTGACGCACACAGTTGCCCTCCCACTCTTCACAAGCCGCCCCTCTTCCTCCCCTCTGCCTGCCTTGTGAGCGGCTAGCACCCATCACGCTGTAGTGTGCGTGCAGTGCGCTCATGAAGTGCCCCTCCCCCCACCCTCCACCCCCTTCTCTCCACCTCTGTCGTGCATGTGGCATACACCCTCCCATCACACCCTCCTCCCCCCCTCTGCCGTGTGCGGTGCGTGGCACCAGGCGCCCATAAACCCGTACGGCAAGTCAAAGAAGATGGCGGAGGACGTCATCCTCGACTACGCGCGCGCCAACCCTCGCCTCGCCGCCACCATCCTCAGGTCCCCGCACCTCTCCGCACCTGTTTTTCCGTCCTCCGGTCACCTGCCATGTGTCTACCTATCCTCAGATCGTGTCCCTTGCATGCCTACCCATTCTCACAGAACTCTCGCTTGCTTGGCAGTTGTCATGCATGCCTCTCCTGCTTGCATGTGCCTAGCATCTCCCTTGCAGCCTCCCTGCCATATCCTCTGCTGCCACTCATCCCACCCACAATGGAACCCGCATGCGCTTCAGTGTATCCTGGTAGGACACCCCCCTCCTCCGCTCGCTCACACGCACATTCACTCCACCGCCCTCGGCGTCCTCTCCCCTGCCACCCACACCCACCTGCTCACTCCCCCCTCCCCTCCTGACCCCCCCCACCTCCCCCAGGTACTTCAACGTGATAGGGTCGGACCCCAGTGGGCGGCTGGGGGAGGCGCCTCGCCCAGAGCTGAGGCACCACGGGCGCATTACCGGGGCGTGCTTCGATGCCGCCATGGGCAAGATTGACGGACTCAAGGTGCGCTCGCCTCGCCCCGGCCCCCTGCTGCTCTCCTCCCGTGCTGCTTTCCCCCATGCTGCTCTTCCTCCCTGTGCTGCTCTCCCACCCTGCACACCATGATACGAGCTCTTACTGCGATTACTCTGTCGCTGGCTTTATAAGTTAGGTCATCCTTGCGTGTGCTCCACACGCTGTGCGGCTCACATGGTGCATGTGCCTGTAGAATTGGGTGCACACACATGGTGCATGTGCCTGTAGAATTGGGTGCACACACACGGTGCATGTGCCTGTAGAATTGGGTGCACACACATGGTGCATGTGCCTGTAGAATTGGGTGCACACACATGGTGCATGTGCCTGTAGAATTGGGTGCACACACATGGTGCATGTGCCTGTAGAATTGGGTGCACACACATGGTGCATGTGCCTGTAGAATTGGGTGCACACACATGGTGCATGTGCCTGTAGAATTGGGTGCACACACATGGTGCATGTGCCTGTAGAATTGGGTGCACACACATGGTGCATGTGCCTGTAGAATTGGGTGCACACACATGGTGCATGTGCCTGTAGAATTGGGTGCACACACATGGTGCATGTGCCTGTAGAATTGGGTGCACACACATGGTGCATGTGCCTGTAGAATTGGGTGCACACACATGGTGCATGTGCCTGTAGAATTGGGTGCACACACATGGTGCATGTGCCTGTAGAATTGGGTGCACACACATGGTGCATGTGCCTGTAGAATTGGGTGCACACACATGGTGCATGTGCCTGTAGAATTGGGTGCACACACATGGTGCATGTGCCTGTAGAATTGGGTGCACACACATGGTGCATGTGCCTGTAGAATTGGGTGCACACACATGGTGCATGTGCCTGTAGAATTGGGTGCACACACATGGTGCATGTGCCTGTAGAATTGGGTGCACACACATGGTGCATATGCCTGTAGAATTGGGTGCACACACATGGTGCATGTGCCTGTAGAATTGGGTGCACACACATGGTGCATGTGCCTGTAGAATTGGGTGCACACACATGGTGCATGTGCCTGTAGAATTGGGTGCACACACATGGTGCATATGCCTGTAGAATTGGGTGCACACACATAGTGCATGTGCCTGCTCTCTGCTCTCTCTCTCTCTCTCTCTCTGCTGCACTGCTGCACTGCTGGTTGTGGGCACACACAACACAACCCCCAGCTCACCGCCCATGAGGGAGAGCCGCAGCATGCCAGGCCACTCTAGCAAGCGGGCTCCATTCATATCCCCACTGCATGCCCGGTGATACGCCTGCACTACCCCACACCGTTCACTATGGGCTGAGTCGACTCAACAGTCACCTCGTTGGGTGCACATGAAGCATGTGTCTGTGTGCTGTGCTGGCTGTGCCCCCCGGCAGGTGATGGGCACGGACTACCCCACAGCGGACGGCACGTGCATCCGCGACTACATCCACGTCACGGACCTCGTCAATGCACACGTGGTCGCCATGCACCACCTCACACCCGGCACTGTTAACATCTACAACGTCGGCACTGGCAAAGGTGCCCACCCCATGCCCCTCCATGCTGCTAGCTCACCACCACCATCACCGCGCTGTCTTTTGCTGTTTCCTTCCCACGAGTCCCATCCTGCTTTTTTCTATCCTTGGCATAAGTGCTAATGGCAACCCTGCCCTCCCTCCTCGCTTTCTTCCTGGAACACCCTCGCTCTCCCTGCCGTGCCCTGCCTGGCCCTGCCCTGCCCTGCCCTGCCCCACCGTGTCTGAGCAGGGTACTCGGTGCGGGAGTTCGTGAATGCGTGTCTGAACGTGACAGGGGCGCCCATAAAGGTGATGGAGCAGAAGGCGCGGCGGCCGGGGGACTACGCGGAGGTGTACAGCGACCCCTCTAAGATCTACCGTGAGCTCGGCTGGAAGGCCAAGTACACGGACCTCAAGGACTCGCTCGCCATGGCCTGGCGCTGGCGCCGACTGCACCCCGACGGCTATTGAGTCCTGTCCTCACACCACCTCCCACGTGTTTCGCTAGGATTAAAACATTGTAGGCTGCATCTGCTGTGCAGATTTCTCTCAGCTGTTTTAGATTATATAGAATAGAAGTTAATATTTTCCTTGGTGGAATAAAAAATTGCATTCAGCTGCTGTAGCTACATCAGTTCAAATCATTGACGCTTGACACCAAAACGGTGTTCGTTATACGGGTCATTTGAACGCACCACATCTGACCTGCACCTGATCAGCGATCAATCGCACGCACCGCCCTCGCATCTCCTGCCCCTGCAACGCATCTCGCCTCGCGTCTCCCGTCAGACTGTCGCCGGCTCCTCCAGGCGACTCTCATGGCGACGCCTGTAGCTGTCGCGGGTGAGTAGCGCGTTTCCGCATTGTCGCCCTCCCTGCCGCGAAACCTCTCCTAGCCCTGCCGCTAGCCCTGCCGCTAGCCCTGCCGCTAACCCTTCGTACCGACCTATGTGTGTCGTTAATCATTATCCTGCCGATCATCGGCTTTGCTGATCGATTCGCACGACTGACCGTCTCTCTCCACGTGTCTTGCCGTCTGCTGTCTCTGATGCCCACGCGTGCCGACTCTTCTGTGCATTCCCACGTGCCGTGCCGCGCCGTGCTGTGTCATCGCCATTGCGATTGTGCGCCATGGGCGGTGCGCGCGGGCAGAGCGGGAGCTGCGCGAGTATCTGGACGTCGCTGTCGCGGCCGCTCGCCACGCGGGCGAGGTGCGTGGCATTGCCTCGTGCGTGTGTGTGTCCTCCCCCGTGTGTGCATACCCCGAGCGTGCATACCCCGTGTGCATGCACCATGCCACATAGCGCCTGACGCACCCCGCAGCCCCTCGCACGTGCCATATCCCAACGCCTCTCACTTCCCATCACGCCTCTCACTTCCCATCACGCCTCTCACTTCCCATCACGCCCCTCACTTCCCATCACGCCCCTCACTTCCCATCACGCCTCTCACTTCCCATCACGCCCCTCACTTCCCATCACGCCTCTCACTTCCCATCACGCCTCTCACTTCCCATCACGCCTCTCACTTCCCATCACGCCTCTCACTTCCCATCACGCCCCTCCGCTTGCCCGGCGTGCCACCTGCCTCGCCCAACAACCCTCCCCATCCTCTCCCTCTCCTCTCAATCCCCTCTGATCTCCGCTCTTCCTCTCCTCCCCCTCTCCTTTCCTCTCCTCTCTTCCCATCCCCCTCCATCCTTCCATCCCCCATCATACCATCCCCTCAACTCATCCACCCATACGTCCGTGGATGCGTGCACACGTGTCACCAGGTGATTCGCCGCGGCTTCAACGCACCAAAGGACGTGCAGCACAAGGGCAAGGTGAGGCGCGTTGAACGGCGAAGGCATGGCATGGCATGTGGTGTGATGTGATGAGAGAGCATGGCATGTGATGTGGGAGCATGGCATGTGATGTGGGAGCATGGCATGTGATGTGGGAGCATGGCATGTGATGTGGGAGCATGGCATGTGATGTGGGAGCATGGCATGTGATGTGGGAGCATGGCATGTGAGTGCGCCTGGAGCTGCAGATTTTCCTGCGCCTGGAGCTGCAGATTCTCCTGCGTCTGGAGCTGCAGATTCTCCTGCGTCTGGAGCTGCAGATTCTCCTGCGCCTGGAGCTGCAGATTCTCAAGCTGCCGCGCACTGCCTCACGAGGGATGTTGGAGTTGAGAAACATGAGCAGCATCGCAGAAACTCATCCAGGCGTTGTGCAAGAACGTTTGTATCGTGACATTGTGCCATCCCCACTCATACCCTTTCCCTCCCTCCTCTCTCCTCCCTACCGCCACCCACTGTGCTGCATCTAGGTCGACCTGGTCACAGAAACGGACAAGCAATGCGAGGCACTCATCATGCAGCACATCTCAGCCGCTTATCCCTCCCACAAGGCAAGCGTGTGATTGAACCCGAAACACAAGGGCTCTGCTGGGTTCGCTGGGTTGCCAGCTTGCAGCATGGGTTCTGGGTTGTAGCGTGGTGAGCTTATGGTCGTATCGTAGCATGCAGGTCATTTGCTTCCTTCCTTGATTGACTCCCCTTCTCTAATGTCCCCCACATGCTGCGCTTTACCGTCCATCTCAACTGCACGGCACGGCACGGCACGGCACGGTGCGCCAGCAGTTCATAGGAGAGGAGGAGTCATCGGAGCGGGGCACGGCGGGGCTGGGGGACGACCCCACGTGGATGGTCGACCCCCTCGACGGCACCACCAACTTCGTGCACCGGTGGGTGCGCCGCTGCCGCTGCCGCTGCCGCTGCCGCTGGGGGTGGGGGTGGGGGTGGGGGTGGGGGTGCCGCTGGGGGTGCTGCTGGGGGTGCCGCTGGGGGTGCCGCTGGGGGTGCCGCTGGGGGTGGCGGTGGTGGGTGGGGGTGGCGGCGGGGATGGCGGTGGCGGTGGGGGTGGGGGTGCATCCCTGCAATGGCACAAACAGCAGTCTTGGCGCGCCCCTAACCTGCACCTGTGGAGATGGGCAGCCGGCATCATCTCTCCTTCTCAACCTTATCTCATCACCTCCTTTGCTTCATTCATATCTACCCCCCTCTCTGCGGCTTGGCCTACATGCCCTGCCCCCTGTGCCCCACACCATGCGGGCATGGAGCGTGCGTGGCGGGAGCAGGTATCCATTCGTGTGTGTGTCCATTGGGCTGGCCATCAACAAGGCCGTCGTGGTGGGGGTCGTCTTCAACCCCATCCTCAACGAGGCATGTCGCCCTGCCTGCCCGCCATGCCACCCGCCTCTCAACTCACTCATGCATGTCACACGCCTCACGCACATCCCCTGCTCTGCTCTGCTCATGGCAGTGCCATACCACCACAGCTCATGGCAGTGCCACACCACCACAGCTTCTCCCCCACTCATCACCCCGCCCATCTTTCCTTGCACAACTCCACACCCACCCTTACCCCATGTTTCCTCTCCCATTCCCCGTGCCCCATGCCTCGTGCCCCATGCCCCAAGCCCAATGCCCGATGCCCCATCCCCCATGCCCGATGCTTAATGCCCCATGTCCCATGCCCCATGGCCAATGCCCAATGCCCAATGCCCTATGCCCCAAGCCCAATGCCTCATGCGCCATGCCCCATACCCCATGCGCCATGCGCCATGCGCCATGCCCCATACCCCATGCGCCATGCGCCATGTGCAGATGTTCACAGCAATGAGGGGCCATGGTGCCATGCTCAACGACGAGCCCATCCATGGTATGCACGTAGTCTATGCCATGCCATGCCGCCGTTCATTGCATGCATGCCATGCCGCCGTTCATTGCATGCATGCCATGCCGCCATTCATTGCATGCATGCCATGCCGCCGTTCATTGCATGCATGCCATGCCGCCGTTCATTGCATGCATGCCATGCCGCCGTTCATTGCTTGCATGCCATGCCGCCGTTCATTGCATGCATGCCATGCCGCCGTTCATTGCATGCATGCCATGCCGCCGTTCATTGCATGCATGCCTTGCCGCCGTTCAATGCATGCATGCCATGCGACCACCAGCCACTGCTCGTGGCCCTTCTCGCCCATCACCTCTCCCCAAAGATGTCATTTATGTATCCAACTGCCATTCCATATGTCCTCAATCTCCCCCCTTCACCGCCCTGCTTTCCCTTCACCTCCCTGCTTTCCCTTCACCTATCACCCCCCTGGTCGTACCTTACGCTTCCCCTCGTGGTGCCTCTGTGCCCTCTCCTCTCCCCTCATTGCACTGCCCCTATCGCCCTTTGCCCACCCCTGGCAGCATCTTCGCAAGCAGACATGGGGTCAGCGCTACTCGCCACTGAGGTGCTCCCCTTGCCCTGCACCGCCGCACCCATGCATTCATGCCCCCCCGCATTCATGCGCTCCTGCATGCATGCACCCATGCACACATCCACATGCCATTTTGCTTCCTTCCTCACATTCTCACATGCACCCATGTATGCGTGCTCCGTTGCATGCTTCCTTGGCACAGCTTTCTGCTCACCCTTCATTTCTTCCTTCCTCCTTCCTCTCCTCTCACCCATTCTCCCCCCCATCCCGCCACCATGGCGGCGGGGGGCATCAGATAGGCACCAAGAGGGACGCAGGCACGGTGGCAGGGCTGACAGGGCGCATCAGCAACCTGCTCTTCCAGGCACGCCCCCCTGCTGCCCCCCTCCCGCCTGCCCTCTGCCACTCGTCCACCACGATGGTCCCAACTCCTGGTGGGAGAGCACTGGATATGAGGGAAAATGCTCTCCTCCCTGCGCCACCCGTTACTATGCCAACTGCTGCTGCATTCCGCCCTCCCCACCCGCCTCTGTCGTTCCAGTGCACTCTCTCTCACTCTGCCTGCGCCTCACCATCATATCCGCTCCACTTACCTATCCTTCACTCCGCCCATCAACTCACCCTCGCTCCTCCCTCGTCCAACTCCCAATTCGCCCCAGGTGCGGTCGCTGCGGCTGTCAGGGTCGTGTGCGCTGAACCTGGTGGGCGTGGCATGCGGCCGCCTCGACCTCTTCTACGAGATCGGCTTCGGTGGACCCTGGTGCGTGCCCTCTGCCCTCTGCCCCTCAGTGCTGTGGGGGTGGGGTGAGCAGTGGAAGAGAAGAGGAGGGGGGATATGGTGTGGTTGCTGCAAAGCTGCCAAGAAGGTCAGGGCAGGGCATGGTGTGTGTGGGGGCAGTGGCAGCAGCTACTGCACGTGAGGCGTGTCGTCACACAGTTCTTCCCTCGCGTCATTCAAACTGCTTCACACACGTCTTTCTCCCTCTTGTCTCCCTCACAACCCCCTCACGTGCACCTCACACCTCCCTCACACCTCCTTCACACCTCCCTCACGCTTCCCTCATTCCCCCCTCATGCACTCACCCCCCACACCCCCCTCACGCCCCGCTCTCCCTCGGTGCACGCATCAGGGACGTAGCAGCGGGGTCGCTGATCGTGGAGGAAGCGGGCGGCCTCTGCTTTGACCCGTCAGTGCCCTCCCTTCGCCCTCCCTGCTCTAAAGACCTGTCATCTTTGACATGCACAACAGCATTATATTGATTCTTCAATGTGTTTCTTTTCATCGAGAACTTGAATCTGGTGATGTCTTCTTGTGTGTGGCAGGAGCGGAGGCCCCTTTGATGTGATGGCATGTCGAGTGGCGGCCTCAAATGGCCATTTAAAGGCAGCATTTGTGGAGGCATTAGCCTGTGATGCAGTTGCCAATGGCCAAACATGATGTAATATGGAGTTATCTTTATTCTTTTGCAGGACAGCTTTCACGATGTAGGGACTTTTAGGTGCACAATCAGGATTTGTTGGGTTATTAGTTGGTGCTTCTAAGCATATCCAAACTACAGTTATCTCTCTCGGCCTATGTGTCTTCGCGAAAGTGTAGCCGTTTCCCATGAATGTCGTTGACGAACATCGCGCTGGACAGTTCGTGAGGTCGCTGTGCTCGCAAACTGTAAATCTCCTGCGCCGCTTTCTCCTTCTCAGCGCCCCATTTTGTCCTCCCACTTGGTTTCTTCCACTTAGACCTGCCCACGTGGTCGCCACCTGATACGCTCAGCCGCCACACGACTTCTCTTCTCACTAAGCCGCGCACTTCACCCGCCACCGCCGTTTTCCGCCATGGCGGCACCCATTGCGAGGCTTGGACGACGCGTCGTCTCGCGCGCAGCGCCGTGGCTGGCGGAGACTTCCCCGCTTGGCGGCGTTGGCTCCGTCGCGCGACGGTTTTCGAGCGCCGCTGACGGCGCTGCGACGTCGGAGGGCCACGCGACGTCGAGCGAGTTGATTTCAATGGAGGAGAAAAGCAGCGCGCACAAGTGAGTGGCGCGCGCAAGTGAGTGGCGCGCGCAAGTGAGTGGTGCGCGCAAGTGAGTGGCGCGCGCAAGTGAGCGGCGTGCGAGCAGGGCATTCATAGAGATGTCGGACCGGGATGGCGTCGCGCTTGCATGTGCGCCCGAATTCCGCAAGAGAGCTTGTGCCCACTCTCCGCCACACTCGTCCTCGCCGCACCGCTCCTTAAATCCGCGCGTTTCCCGATCCGCCCGTCCGCCCGCCTTCGCTCGCCCCCCCTCCCCCAGCTACCACCCGCTGCCAGTGGTGTTCGCGGAGGCGCACGGCGCGCGCATCACGGACCCCGAGGGGCGCGAGTACCTTGACTTCCTCTCCGCCTACTCCGCCGTCAACCAGGTGCGCGCAGGGGTGGAATGCGCGGAGAGGGTTTTGAGAGGGGGGTCGAGACGAGGGGTGAGACGAGGGAGGTGCTGTGCAGTGGCCGAGGCAGGCGGGAACTGGTTGAGGGGAGGAATGGGCGGGAGAACGGCACGAGGGAGGGGCGGTTGGGGTGCACTCGCCAGACGCGGGCCTTATCTCCGCTCCGCGCGCCTCCCCCCCTTCCCCCCTCCCCATGCAGGGCCACGGCAACGCGCGCATACTGGCGGCGCTGCAGCAGCAGGCGGAGCGGTGCACGCTGTCGTCGCGCGCCTTCCACAACGACCGCTTCCCGCTGTTCGCGCAGCGCATCACGGCGCTGATGGGGTACGACAAGGTGCTGCCCATGAACACGGGCGCTGAGGCCGTCGAGACCGCGCTCAAGGTGGCGCGCAAGTGGGCGTACGAGAAGAAGGGTGTGCCCGCCAACCAGGTGGGGGGGTGGAGGGGAGGAGGAGATGGGGAAGGGGAGGGAGACGGGGGGAGCGGGAGAGGGAGGGGGAAGGGGGAGGGGAGATGGGGTAGCTGATGATAAAAGTGGGAATTTTCGTCATCCCTTGCCACGCCTTGCCACGCCTTTCCACGCCTTGCCACGCCTTGCCACGCCTTGCCCTGCCATGCCATGCCCCTCCGGCCCCTCTGCCCTCTCCGCCCCCCTCACCCCCCTCTCCTCCGCCCAGGCGCTGGTGATCTCGTGCTGCGGGTGCTTCCACGGGCGAACCATGGCGGCCATCAGCATGTCGTGTGACAACGACGCCACGCGCGGCTTCGGCCCGCTGCTGCCCGGCCACCTCAAGGTGGACTTCGGGGACGTGGACGGGCTGCAGCGCCTGCTGGCGGGTGAGTGGGGGGCGACGCATGGTGGGCGGCAAGGCAAGTGTGTGGCGAAGAGGGAGCGGAGGTGGGGGTGTGTTGAAGCATGGCGCATGCCGTCGCGCCATCAGCTTATCATGTCAACACGCTCCCATGCCATCGTGCTTCTATCATGCTCCCTCATGCCCTCTGCCTCGACCCTCAACACCCTCCCCTTCGCCAACCCCCCAATCCCCCACCACCCTGCCGTGCCTCTCCCCCAGAGCACGGCCCACGGGTGGCGGCGTTCATAGTGGAGCCCATCCAGGGCGAGGCGGGCGTGGTGGTGCCCCCGGAGGGCTACCTGCGGGCGGTGCGGCAGCTGTGCTCCCAGCACGGCGTGCTGCTGCTGGCCGATGAGATCCAGACGGGCCTCGCCCGCACGGGCAGGATGCTCGCGTGCGACCATGAGGGCGTGCGCCCTGACGTGCTCGTCAGTGCCCTCTGCTCCCATGCTCTGCTCTGCTCTATGCTGCTTTATATATCTCTGCTCTTCCCTCTATATTGCTATACTGTGCTCTGTATTTCTTTCTCTGCTCTATGCTGCTTTATATATCTCTGCTCTTCCCTCTATATTGCTATACTGTGCTCTGTATTTCTTTCTCTGCTCTATGCTGCTTTATATATCTCTGCTCTTCCCTCTATATTGCTATACTGTGCTCTGTATTTCTTGCTCTGCTCTATGCTGCTTTATATATCTCTGCTCTTCCCTCTATATTGCTATACTGTGCTCTGTATTTCTTGCTCTGCTCTATTCTGCTCTGCTCTGCTCTGCTCTATACTGCTCTATATTCCCCCCCCATCAGATCCTGGGCAAGGCGTTGGGAGGGGGGGTGGTGCCAGTGAGTGCGGTGCTGGCGGATGATGACGTCATGGGGTGCATCCGACCGGGCGAGCACGGCAGGTGGGGCAGGGACGGGTGGTGGGGGGTGGGAATGGGGAATGGGGAGGGTGGGGAGCGTGTGATGGCAGGTGCGCTGTGATGGCAGGTGCGCTGTGATGGCAGGTGCGCTGTGATAGCAGGTGCGCTGTGATGGCAGGTGCGCTGTGATGGCAGGTGCGCTGTGATGGCAGGTGCGCTGTGCGCAGCTTGTTTCTGACGCGCCTCTATTGGGAGAGCGGGGAATGGGGAATTGGGAAATGGGAATGGATAATGGGGATGGGGGGGGCGGTGTGATGGCAGGTGCAGTGTGTTCGACCTGCTGCCCTGATTTGCAACGCCCATGCCCATGCCCATGCCCATGCCCATGCCCATGCCCATGCCCATGCCCATGCCCATGCCCATGCCCATGCCCATGCCCATGCCCATGTTCATGCCCTCCCACGTCTCCTTGCCCGCCCTGTCCTGCCCTCCTGTTCTGCATGCCCTCCTGTTCTGCATGCCCTCCTGTTCTGCATGCCCTCCTGTTCTGCATGCCCTCCTGTTCTGCATGCCCTCCTGTTCTGCATGCCCTCGCCTCAACGCACGTCCTTACCCCTGGCCCCTCTCCCTCCCTTTTGTTCTCCTCCCCCTCCCCTGTGCGCACTCCCCCCTCTCCCCCTCCTCTGCAGCACGTTTGGCGGCAACCCGTTGGCGTCAGCAGTGGCGCTGGCGGCGCTGGCGGAGATTGAAGAGGGTGGGCTGGCCGACAGGTGCGGGGCAGGGGGGTGTAGGCAGGGGGGAATGTGGATTGGGGGGTGCACGGAGGGGCGGTGCGGGTTAGGGAGGGCTGGTGGGATGGGAGGTTGAGTGGCTGGCTGTTCCATTCCATGCAGAATCTTGGGATGGGAGGGGAGGCGCAGTGAGAGTGGACATGGGGAAGAATGCACGCGGCATGACAACCATGTCTCGAATGCACGGGGCATGACAACCATGTCTCGAATGCTCTTTCTGCTCACACGTACCACCTCTGCACATTCCCATGTCCTCAACCCCTTCCACTCATTCCCCCTCCCCTCGACCCCCTCACAACTTCCCCTTTGCCTCCCCCAGGGCGCAGCGGCTGGGGGAGCAGCTACAGGCGCAGCTGAAGGCAGTGCAGGTGCGGTACCCCCACCTGATCCACGAGGTGCGGGGGCGAGGGCTGCTGGTGGCGGTGCAGGTGGCGGGGGAGGGGCTGCCGGGGGGAGTGACGGCGCTGGACGTGTGTGTGGCGATGAAGGAGCGCGGCGTGCTGGCCAAGCCCACCCACAACACCATCATCCGCCTCGCTCCCCCCCTCACCATCTCGTGCGTGCCCTTTCATTCTCGCTCATGCCCTGCCTCTCTCATCTCATGCCCTGCCTCTCTCATCTCATGCCCTGCCCCTCTCATCTCATGCCCTGCCTCTCTCATCTCATGCCCTCGTGCTTTCGCCCATTCAGCCCCTCACTCATTCACCCCCTCACTCATTCATCCCCTCACTCATTCACCCCCTCACTCATTCATCCCCTCACTCATTCACCCCCTCACTCATTCATCCCCTCATCCCCTTACAAATCCGTTCCCTCGTGCCCCCATGCTGTCATCGCTCCACCTGCTGAAGCCCTGTCAATTGTACAGCTGTCTCGTGTTTTGCAATCTAGCACTCTTTACTCTTTCCTCATCCACTATCCATACCCCCAACACCCCCACACACCTGACCACCCCACCTGCTGCATGGCACGGGCATGGGCATGGCAGGGAGGAGGAGCTGGGGCGGGCAGCAGCAGCGCTGGAGGCGGTGTTGGGGGAGGACATGCCGCGCCTTGTGGCGCAGGCTGCTGCTGCAGGCGCCGACAACAAGACGCACAGCAAGGAGCCCTGCGACCGCTGTGGCCGTGTGCGCTGAACATGCCATGTCATGTCATGGACTCACATCACATGGTGCTTGGAAGTGCTCCATAACGTAGACACAGAAGCAGTGCTTCTACCAATTTTGACTGCTCCTATGTATGCATAGCAGGCCCTCAGATTGTTTTAGGGGCACGCTGATCACTCAGTGTGCCTAGCAGGTAAAACTCTGTTATTCAGTGGCGTCTAAGGCCAAAACACTGAAAAACAAACAGCCTGATTGATCTACCAAGAAATGATTACATGTTCAAACAGCCTTAAACAAACAGTGTTTCACATTACATGCACAGCAAGGGGCGGCTCCCATTCTCTTGGTTGAGGGGCAGGTATCATAACTCCCGTCTCCACCAAAGCAGTAGTAAAACGTACAGGCTAGAACTGTAGCAGAATATAAGAATATAGAGGAACTTAAACGTTTGCACTGGAGTAGATCAACTATGGATATTCAGTATTCAGCCAGGACAGAGCAGAGGTCGGTAGAGCAGTGGAGTGCAGTGTGTCGATCCCGTCTTGCTGTCACTGCACCTGCTGCAGCGCATCACTGGGCAGTGCGATGTGCCAGAGGCTGCCGCCTCTCCGCTCCCACTGGCACATCACCACTTTTGCCCGCCTTCCCCCTCACCACCCCATTCTCATTCTCAATCCCACTTGCCCTCTGCGTTCCCGGCCGTCCTCTCACCGCCCTTGTGCCCTTGGTGCAACTGCCACTCTCCACATCACTCCCATCCCCACTCTCACCCCAGCTCTCACTCTCACTCTCACTCTCACTTCCATCCCCACTCCCACTCGCAATCTCACCCTCACCCTCACCCTCACCCTCACCCTCACCCTCGCTCTCCCTCTCACTGCCATCATCAAGCACGAAGCGCCTCTGCCTGGCACCGGCACGCCGAGCGGGCATGGCAGCAGGCAAGGGCGAGGGCGAGGGCAGGAGGAGGTCGTCACTCAGCGCCGATGCAAAGGACGTGGCGTCACTGCCCACTGACGCCGCAGGGGAGCCCTCCGCCCCCCGTGCTGCAGGGGAGGCGTCATCCCTTGGTGCTGTGCGGCCCACACTGGGGCTGTCAGCGTGGAGCCCTGCCGCCATGCACACGCTCTCATTCTCCAACACCTCTTCCACCTCCTCAGATATGCTCTCTGCCTCCTCCTTGGGCTGCACGCGCTTGCTGTGTGTGCCTGCCACCCCCGGCACCACCTCCACCACCTCGATCACGTCTTGAGAGTCTGAGTCGGTGGAGATGGAGATGGGCGCGTCCCTGCCACCACCACCACCACCACTGCTGCTGCAGCTGCTCCTGCGCCTCCTCACAGCAGCTATCACGGACGCCACTCGCCGTGGCCCACTAGTCTGCTCCTGTGCCCGCGCGCCCCTCTGGTGTCTGCCCACTGACGCCCTGTACTCCTCCTCGCTTCCACTCTCACTTCCACTCCCATACTCCTCACTCTCACTGCTCTCGCTCTCCTCCTCACTCCCACTGCTGTGAGCCTCAGGCGGCACATCTGCTGCCGTGCTCTGTCCCTCCCTACCCACTTGCTCCACCCCCTCCCCTGCATCCACTCCCTCACTCTCCCCAACCGCTGCCTCGCCGACCGCGGGTCTGCCGGCGCTGCTGTGACCTCCCAGCTGCTGCTTGAGGCGGCTGTTGGCCACTGCCTTGCACTGCCGTGAGGGCCGAGCAGAACACTGCACCGGTGTGGTGGGGTTGGGGTTGCACAAGGGGGAGGTGCGGCGGGCTGGCGCTGTGCAGGCACGGACGAGAGGCACGGGCGAGAGGCATGGGGGAGAGGGAGCAAACAGGCAAGCAATGAGAAAGGAGTGTTGGCGTGGCCGTGCCCTCGCAGCAGGTGGTGCATGGCGCAACAACCCACAGGCTTGTGGGAGTACAAGCAGCACGTGTGGAAGCACAAGCAGCATACGGAGCAGCGTACCTGGTGGCTTGCCTCGTCGCCTCCTGCCTGGCGGAGAGCATCCCTCCATGGCAGATGCACCACTCTGCCCTGCCTCTGACGCACTGGCTGCATCACCATCCACTGCAAGCAGGGCACACATGGCAGCACAGCACAGCACAGCAGAGAACGTAAAGGAGAATCACACAATGCATCCACACCTGCTGCTTCTACGGCTCAACACAGAAATCCCCCTTATCTCCGCATCCCCCATGCCTTAATTCCCCACCCATGCCTCCCCAATCTCCCCCCCACACGCTGCTCATCTTCCCCCTTCCTCCCCCTCCCCCCTCACCGCGCTGCAGCAGCTGCTCCAGGCGCTCCAAGGGCAGCTCCTCGTCCGGAGTGGCGTCCAGCGCCCTCAGCCGCGCTGCCAGCTGCTCCACCAGCCGCTGCGCCGCACGCTGCCCCTGCACTGCCTCCGCCACCCTGCCACCGGACCAGGCGCGCGGGGGAGGGGGAGGGGGAACGACGGGTTCAGAGTGGGGCGCGTGTGAGTGGTGGTGGTGGGTGATGGGCGGGAGCATTATATTGGATGGGATTCGCAGGTGAGTGGTGGTGGGTGCAGAGCTGCAGGACTGGGACAAGGAGTGCCTTTTCTGTTGTCTGGAAATGGCAAGAGCATTGAACGGATGCTCTGGTGATGGGAAGAGACTTACATGGGGAGCAGCGAGCGCAGGCATTTGACGTCGTCCTGCTGGGAGGCTCTGAGCGGCACCTCCACCAGCAGGTGCACCAGGTGCGCACTGTACGCCCTCCCGCTCGCACTGCCTGACGTGGCCAGTGGGGAGGATAGGATCTGGGGCGGAAGGGGAAAGAGCATGACATGTGGGGTGATTGAGGCGTGCAAGACAGCACGTTTGTGGCACAGCACACAGGGCTCAGCATCACAGCAGAGCGTGCGGCAGTGAGGGTAAAGGGAGAGAGTGAGATACAAGGGCTGAATGGCCGTTGGCGGAGGTGCACACGAGGGCAGCAGAGTGGGAAGGGAACCCACCTCAGCAGCAAGATCAAGAGCCAGAGACTCGAAGCCCAGCGCTGGCTGTTCCACGCGGCTGCTCTCACCCACTCCACTATTCTCGCCCTCACCATCACCACCACCTGCTGCTCTTCCCTCGGCCTCCTCCTCTCCCTCCTCCGCTCTCTCTCTTTCCCTCTCCCCCTCGCCCTCTCCACTCTGCTTAGGCGGCACGAATCCGTGGGCGCCATGAGCGAGCATGAGGGAGAGAAGCAGCTGCGAGGCACGCACTGCAGGCTGCCGCGCTGCTGCTGCCGTCTTGCGCGGCCACAACTGCCGCAACACTGGCAGCAGCAGACGTGACGCTGCCACCTGGACAGGGATGACAGGGAGGGATTCGTGGACAGGGAGTGAACGGGGAAGAGTGAGTGAGGGAGGAGTGAGGTGCCACAGCTACAGACTGTCAAAGGAAGTGAGGCTACCAGAAAAAGCAGTAGTTGGCTATCAGCGTGGGGTTGGTGGCGTACCTTGCAGGCTGGCAGCACGGCCACTCGGTTGAACAGCTCTGCTAGCATTTGACGCGTCCTGTGAGGCACGAGCGAGGAGGGGGGGTGGTAGGGGAGATGATGAGGAAAAGCATCTACGGAGTAGACACACCATAGAGCAGACTCAGAGGGAAAGACAAGCCAGAGGAGTCGTTGTGGGACAATCGTTTCCAGAGATACCCACACACACAGCGCCACGCACCTGGGCAGCTCGTCTTCAGCGGCGCCCGGGCACAGGTACACCTGCACCAGCACCTGCAACACTCGCTCCACCCTGCCCTCCGCCCCCCTCTCCGCGCCCTTCCCTCCGGCCCTGCTCGCGTCTGCTAGCAGCAGCTTGCTCAGCCCCTCGCACACCACGCCCACCACGCCCTCCGCCTCTTCCTCGTCCTCCCCATCCGCCTGTCGCCCTGCGCGCTGCACGTCCTCCCTCACCCCCTCAATGTCCACCTGTCCGCCCTCCAGCGGCACCAGCCCCACCAGCACGTCCACGCTCCCCTCCGCCACCTCCGCCACCCTACCTCCACGCGCTCCTCCTGCGCGCTGCGCCTCTTCCCCCGCACTGCACCCGCTCACCGCACTCCCCTCGCCCTCGTCGCTAAGGGCGGGCGCAACGATGTCGGGCAGCAGCGCGGCGGGGCGGTGCCAGAGCAGCAGGTCCGCGAGGGCGCGCACGGCCGCCATCTGCACGCCGGGGTGCGCGGAGTCGCGCGCGGCGGCGTGCAGCAGAGGCAGGTGAGCGCGAGCGGACGGCGCGTGCAGCATGGCGAAGGCGTGCAGCGCGCCGACGGCCTCAGCGCGCACCAGTGGTGACGGGTGCGACGCCTGCCAGCACAGGAGGGGGGAGGGAGGAAGCGGGAATAATGTTTGAGCACACGGGTCACGGAGAATGAGAACAGTCACGGGCGCAGTGCAGCGAATGCGTGCACACCGTCGTGGGGCAGCGCGCGCGCGTACCGCGGGGACGAGGATGCAGTTGAGCGCCTCCTGCGGCTCAACGCGCAGGTTCCTCCACGCCCTGAACGCTCCGCCGCCTGCCGACTTGCAGCACAGCCGCAGCACCATGCGTGTCGCCGCCACGCACCGCAGCCACTGCCCCTCGCTCACACCATCCACACCCGCCACGCCCGCCATCATCGGCTTGCTGACGTCAGCCAGAGCGTCGACGAGAGCAGCGAGCACGTCAGCATCCGAGGCGTGCACGCGCTGCGCCAGCCCCAGCAGAGCCTCGCCCCACCTGCCGTCTGCCACGCCCTCCTCCCACTCGTCCTCCGCCTCGGCGCTCTCCTCCCCCGCCTCCTCGCGCGCCGGCTGCGCGCCGACGAGGTGGCGGTGCACGAGCGCGGCGGCGTGCGCGCGGATGGTGGCGTCGGTGAAGTCGAGTACCGCCGCCAGCTGCATCAGCTGCCGCGCTGCGAACCGACCCTCGGACCCTGCGCGAGGAAAAAGAGGCATAGGTTACACGTCGGAACAAACGGTCAGAGGCGGTCCTCATACCCCTGCTTTGGTGCTAAGCTAATGGCCCCGTACCTGCTTGCATGTGCGTCTCCAGCAGCGTCAGGTAGTCCTGAGCCGTGGCTGGCAGCAGGGCCTCCAGCTGCGCGTTCAGGTCGCTCGCTGCTTCTGCTGCCACCACCGCTGCTGCGCCAGCGGATATTGCGGCATTTGATCCGTTCTCCTGCAGCAATACGAGGACACGCAACGTCAGACCCACGTCGTCTTCAAGGCAAACGACAGCAAGCGCGAATTCAGCAAGTGGGAAAAATGCAAGCACGTGAGAAGCAAGAGCAGGAGCGAACTGACATTGGCCTGCGCGGAGAGGTGTAGGCACAGCATGCGCCAAAAGAGCGCCTCCTCCGCCGTAAGCAGCCCTGCTGCTGCTGCCTCCTCCGACCTCCCTGCACCAACCACGAGGGGAGGAGAGACATGAGACTCGCCGCTGGAGCGAAATCACAATCTCTGTGATTCACACGTTAATCTATCTTTCATGTAATTCACTCTCTTCGTCGCGACCACGTGCTATGAGACCTAGCCTGGTTCGATGTATGTGGCTCGGCTCCTAACATTTCCTCCAAGAACTTGCCTTCTGCAGGAGTGGACATCTGCTTGACAGCGGCACGCAGCCCCCCTTCAGGCACGACCAGCTCCATGTCGCCGCACCCCGCGCTGTGCGCCTGCAGGACCTCCCGCACCGCCGATTCCGCCACCGCCTCGTGGCTCTCCACGTCCACGTGTCGCAGCAGTCGCACCAGGTCGCCCTCGCAGTCGCGCGACAGCCACGCGCGACACAGTAGCTCCACACACGCCGACCGCACCGTCGGCGACCGGTCGCCCAGACCCTGCGACAGCAGCTGCACTCGCTGCCGGATGCTGCGACGGATACACACACACACGCCACGCCATAGAAACAAAAAATCAGCTCCACGACAACCGTGGCTAGTGCAGTGGTGAGGAAGAGAGAGTGGGAGCGCACCTGAAGCTTTCGATGGGAAAGAATCTCTCGGCGAAGGACTTGTACGCCGCGGCTCTGACCCGCTCGCTGACGTCCGCCGTGCGCTCGAGAATGTCGGGAATGGTGCTCGTGGACTCCGGCAGCGACCACACCATCGCCTCGCGCACCTCCTGCACCACGCGCAACCAAATGTATTTCCATTCAGGCACCACGCTAATAGCCATCTTCATGACAACTCATACAGATTCGCAGTTTCAGAGGACAATGGCAAACGGGTGTCCAGAGAGTGGAGCATACGAATGACGAGGCTTACGGAGCTCGACTCGGTCTTCATCTTCTCGCGGAATAACCCGATGGTCGTGTCCACGTCCACCCCGCCATCTTCCTCGAATGTCACCATGCGCTTGAGCGCCCTGGCGGCCCACGCGCGGATGACGGCGATTTTGTCGTCCATTCGGCAATGCAAGAACTCGCGGATGATCACGATGGCGTCGGCTGACAGACTGAAGCTGCCGGGCAACGAATTCAGCACCTGCAGGATTCAAAATAACTTGAGACGCTGAGAGCAAGACCTGAAACGTTTAGATTAAGGCCTGATATGCTTAGTTTAAGACCAGAAACGCTTTGAATAAGACCAGATTGAGTTCTGCAATAACATATCATCTTGATCGGAACGGGAGAGAGTGGCATACCTCCGAGAGCACTCTGGTGACGTTGACCCGCACGGCCTTGCTGCGCGCCTCGCTGTACTGCGAGAAAAGGCACAGCAGCTCCTCCATCATCTCCCGTTCGCCCTCGCTTCCCTCTGCGACCAATACGCCGAGGAATGTCTTGAAGAACCGAAGCACCTTGTCGCCAGGGCTGCCAGCTTTCGTGCTGAGGAGAGCGGGTCGAACGACATCAACAAAGGTCGGCGAGAAATCGTCTCGGTGTTGGCGAACACACTGGAGGAGAAGTAAACTGTTTCTATGGTGAGACGCGACTGATTCCTGACACTCGTTCAAGACTCTCGGTATAAGCGACTCTGGTGGGTCTACAGCTCTCCTACTTCCTCCCTGCATGCTTCCTGTTGCTTTCGTCATCTTGCTAACTAGAGTATACAGATTGCGCGCTTCGAAGGTTGACCTCAATAACTAACGACTAGCTTATTCTGACATTTGGCTCATGATACGCAAAGAGTTACTGAGGGGAAAGCTCAAAGCTTGATGGATGAAGAGATGGAATCTGGAATCTGGAAGAAATGTACAGCTTCTTGATGACCTCGGCAGAGGAAAGAGGTGTAGGGACCTTGGGATTGGCTGAGTCGACGCGCTCTGACACTTTCAAACTTCGAAGTTCTGTCCCGCCTCGAGAATTTCCCGCCAGCCTGTGGAGTGCTACAGTGATACCAGCAACACCTCATTTGACAATATAAACCAGCCCTCAGCTCCATAACTGAAACATGATTTGAAGAAAAGATCTATGAATGCTTAGTATGCTGGCAAAAACAGTGATTTACCAATAGTCCTAGGTGCTAAATAAATATAGCTCTACTCACTAGACTAAGGATCACAAAACCTACAATAAACTAACAGCTTCAAAGGTCAACTCAAGAGAACTTCAGAGTATGAAGTTGGGCACCTCATTTGACAAGCTGTCATGAGGCTGTCTCGTCCAGTGCCTGCATGCGCGTAAGGGGTAAGATTTAGCAGCTCCAGTTATGGCAGTTCAGCATCAGAGTCAATTAGGGCAGTTGCATAAACTTGTAGCAGCTTGTCCCAGCAGCAGCTTGTCAGGGCTGCTCCAGTTTGTGCCTAGTAGTCTGCCTCCAGTTTATGCAGCTGCTCCAACGTATGTCATTTCCTGGAAAATGCGGAGGCGGCGGGGCCTCTTGACCTCCACGTGGGAGCTGCCTGCAGTGGGGCTGGTCAGAGTGGTGGCAGCAGCAGCACCACTCACCACAGCAGCAGCCACAGTATCAGCATTGTCAGCAAACAGCGTGCGTCGCTCGCTGCCCTGCTGCCTGTCAGCAGACCCAGCGGAGGCGAGCAGCTTCTTGGCACTGTCGGTGGCCTTGAGTTCCTCCAGCAGCAGCTTGTCAGGGCTGCCTGTGAACCCCAGCATCTCCCACAGCGCCCTCGGCACCACCGGCCCGCCCTCCTGCGCTCCACTCGCGTCTCCTCCCTCCGCGTCGCTCCCTCTCTCTCCCTTGGGAGCAGCAGCCTTCACTGGGGTCGGCACTCTGTTTCTCTTCATTCCCGATCCCCCCACCTCTTGCCCCGCCACAGACTGCTGCTGCACCTGCTGCTGATCCTTGGCTTTCTCCCCCTCACCCATGCTTCCCCCCTCTCCAGGCACTCCCCATGCAGGTCCCCATGCGCCCTTCCCCTGCGCCACAGCCCCCCATGCGCCCATGAACTGCGCGGGGGGCTCGAGGTTCGTGCGCTCGCCCATGACCGTCGTCATGCCCATCCCTCCGCCCATCTCCGCGCCCATCTGCATGCCCATGTTGCCCCCGCCCATCAGCCCACCCGCCACCATCTGCGCCTTCGCCGCCATTGGCGCAGGGTTCTCGCACCCGAACACCAGCGGCCTCCGCGCGCCAGGCCCGCCCGCGCCGATGGGCGCACCCCCCGCCATGTACTGCGGAACGTTCTCTGTGCCCCTGTATAACGCGCGCTGCCCGGGTGCGGGGAATCCGCCACCCTTGCGCATTGCGGCAGCGAGGTGCGCCGAAGCGGGCGGCTTCTGCGATGCCCAGACCCCCGCAGCAACGGAGATAGCCGCAGCAGACGGCTGGTAACTGTCGGTGGGCATTTCGCAGAGCACGTCGTCGTCACTCTCGAACGCTGAGATCATAAGTCCGTCATCCCACGACGCGGCGCCAAAGCTCGAGGAGCACGAGAGCGAGCCGCTTGACATGGGACCCAGCGGCGACACCAACGACGGCGACGCCGCCGCATGCGCGAATCCCGCCGTGGGAATTTGCAACGGGGGGAGCGAGCGGGAGGCGGTGAGCGTGCGCCGGCCGTCGCCAGGGGGAGGCGGGGGCGGAGCACCGTGCATGAACGGCGGAGCGGAGCCGTGGCCGGGGGGAGGAATGGGGCCGAACGACCCGGGCATGAACTCGGGCGCGTTGGGCTTGAGACACGACAGCCCCCCGCGCGCATCCGCTCCGCCGAAGCTCATGGAGCGCGCGAGCGGGTTGCCGCACCCCGCGCCCATGCTCATTGTCCGCGCCATAGCGCCGGTCGCTGGCGGCCTCCGCATGCACTGCAGTTGCGCCTGCAGCGGCCGCTGTTGCTGCTTCTGCGGCGGCGGCGCATCCGGCGGTCCCCGCGACTGCATGCCCGCGATGCCCGAAGAACCGCCTGCGGCGCCTTGTGGAGATGCCGGCGCTCCTTCCGCAGTTGCGTTCCCCCCGGCGGCGCTGCTGTCAGCCATGAGCGAGTCCCACATGTCGGGCGCGCCCAGGAACTCGCACAGGTACGACGAGTGCCGCTGGAACGAGCTGCGCGCCAAGCCCATGCCCATGCCCATGCCACCCATGCCGCGAAACGCGGGCTTAACTTGCGGGAGCTTGTCGGACGAGACCCCATCGCCGCTGGGTGCTGCGGACGGCGCGGAGGCGGAGGCGGCGGATTTACCGCCCGTGTCACTGGCGCTAGCGTCCTCCCCGCCGCTGGTGCCCGCGCTGGCAGCTGCGCCGTCCTTGGCCGATTCGGCCGCCGCCGCTGACGTCTCGAGCTCCACGAGCATGCTCTGCGCGCGCTCGTACGACTGCCATGGCGGCACGTGACGAGAAAGAGACGAAGCAAGGTTCGAAACGAGCGTTGAGACAGAATGCAAGACGGGTGGACGGGTGGAGGGCGAGAAACGAATTTGATAAGCAATGCGAGAGACCAAGAGGCATCTTAGGCTCACCTTAATGTGCGACTCGGATCCCCAACGCGGGTCGCTGTTGGGCGACACGGACTCGAGCAACGCGCGCGCCTCGACGATGCGGGCCTGCTTCATGAGGCAGATGCCGAGGTTGCACACCTTGTTGCTGTCCGCCTCCACGCGCAGCGCCTTCCGATACACCGACTCCGCCGCCACATAATTTCCCTGCTGCATGTACGCCCACCCCAGATTCCCCAACAGCCGCGTCGCCTCCTGCTCGATCGACACCTGGAACTTCTTCCCCTGGGACCGCGCCGTCTTGGTGCGCTTGCCGTTGAATGCCACGCCCTGGCGGATCATGTCGAGCTTGTGCTTGAGCAGCGCCACCTGGTCGTCGAGGCGCCCGCAGCGCTTGAAGAGGTCCAGCAGCACGTTGTCGAGTGACTCCTGCGCCACCTCGGAGCACTTGTGGCGCAGCGAGCGGATGGCCTCGATGGCCTCCTCCGGGCGGTTCTGCTGCTTCATCACGATCGCCATGTCCTTGAGCGCGCTGTCCACGCGGTCGCCCGCGTTGATCGCCGACCAGAACAGCGCGATCGCGCGCACCGGGTCCTTGTCCACCAGCTGCGCGCAACCAGGGGGAGGGGGGGGGGAATAAGTGTTGGGGGAAGCGAGGGTAGGGCGGAGGGACGGGTGAGAAGGCGCATTGCGGTATGGGAAACGGTACTCCTGTGATAAATGCTAATTTACAACCGTTTCTGGTCCGGTTCGTACCTGGACGTGTTTCGCGCGGACATAAGGCGAGTCGCCGACGGGGACCTTGTGGATGACGTGGAACGCGTCGTTCGACTTGCCCTCCTCGCCCGCCATGCTCCACCCCGCACTCCCGTCGTCGTCGCCCGACGCGGAGCTCTCAGCGTACGCGCTGCCCGCGTCGGACGCTATCGAGCCGGCGTCGGCGCTGCCTGCTCGCCGCGCGAAGGGCGGCGGCTTGGACGGAGAGGTGGGGGCGGACTGGCATCCGAACGGCGTCTGCAACTGACCGCTAGAGAATCCCGACTGCTGTTGCTGATGCTGCTGTGGCTGCTGCTGTAACTGCTGCTGTTGTTGCTGCTGTCTGGGTGCGTGGAACGAGTGTGCGTTCTGAATTCGACCGTACGGGCCATGCGGGCCTGACGCGGCGCCGGCAGCACCGTTGTGAAAGCCGTGCCGGGGAGGGTAGCAGTCGGGCCACATTGCACGCGGAACGCCCGCTACTCTGCGCCCTCACTACACTCCTGGGCTTTGCGCTGCCTGATACAAGTACGTAGTGCTAATGCTGGTTTGTCCTCATGGATAGCGCAAGCAGTTTTTTGGAGAAGCTGGTATTAGAGATTTAACTCCGGACGAATTCGCGCCTGAATCGTAGCAGCGTGGAGAAATATGGGTTGAAGTTGCAGTTACGTTACGATGCTGTCTGGGCGTGACGAAAGTGAGGTGATGGGTGGTGTTTGGCTTCGGGGTGCCTGCTTGGCATGTATCGAAACGAATGCTACGAGTGACGGCAGCGGGAAATGTGAAAGCCTCCAAACTGGCCCACGAAAGCGCATCAATGTATGCCTTCGCCGACAGATCTCGTCGGTCACTGGACGATCTTGTAAACGACTGAGCGACGATGGTGGAACGATGAATAGAATGGAGAATGAGGGGTAATTTAGTCGGCGCCACTTTGTCGCATGGCCGTAGACTTGTGATCCATCGTCTCAGCGACAGCAGCGATTTCATTTGCGCTGCGATGGGAGCATCATCCATCAACCCGTGTGACTCAACGCGGCGCTCGGGACGTGCCGCGCGCTTTTGATTCCAAAAAGCCCTAACGGCGCGACACAATGCGACGTGCCTCGCCGAGCTTTCCTATCAACTTTCGCAAGTCGCACAACTTTGACGATAAATTTTCAGTTGGAGTCGCAGGACTGATTTTGCTTGGAGCGAAGCCAAGCGCGGGCAGAAACCCCGACTATGCGAACGGTTGCGACCATTCCCAGAGTTGGCGAACGGTTGGCGGTACAATAAAGATGTCGTTGGGTGAAAGAAACATGTTTTCGACATGTGGCGGCGACCATTGGGTGAAGTATTTGACAAAATCTCGTTGACGAGTTTGACGCTGACATGGGCATGCATTCCGCTGCCCGTAGGCGGCTTATGGATCGCTACCAAACAAATAAAGTTTCAAACATTTTGTTCTCCGAGCCGTCATCTGTCAACGGTCGGCAGTAAGGCTGCGGAAATTTTTTTCCCGCGCGAAGGCGCACCCCTAACAACCGCAATGCTTTGACAAGTATGGCTTCGATAAGGCCGAAATTTAGTTTGGCTAGAGATACAAACGATTGCCATTGGAAAAATATATATAAAGAGAGCCACTGTACTACAAACAGAAACATACATCGCATCGAAGTTCCCTCACGGTATCTATAACGAACAGTGGAGCAGCATCGGAAAGCAGGTTACGTAGTGTTGAGGACCCCTGGCACGATAACAGGCTGAAATGGACACAGATGCAAGGACACATGAAACCAGGACCCTCAAGTAAACATGTGGAACAAAACAATCTGCATGCAACAATCTCCTAACACAAATCTCACTAACAAACGACAGCCACAAATGTACCTGGAGGTGCCAGATGTCACGTGCGTATTCGGCAATGGTGCGGTCACTGCTGAATCGGCCCATCATCGATGCTGCTATCTGCAATGACACGTGGCAGGAGGAAGCATGATGGACAGGTGGTAAGAGAACCTGAGAGAGGAGACACACAAAGAACAGGCACTGAGAGCAACACTCAACACAGTAATGGAGGACACATCAAGCAAGTAGACGATCCAGAAGCCTGGACAAGCGCATGAGGGGGGATGGTGGATGAAAGGTGGAGAACAAAGGAAGGATGGAGGACAGAGGATGCATCTGGATGGTGTGAGTAAGGAGGCGGGCGAGGGAGAGGGCATACAATGGAGCGGCGGCACCACTCAGTGGGGTTGAGGAAGAGCGTGTCCACTGAGTGCTGCTCACATGCACCCATGCACACATGCACCCATGCACCCATGCACCCATGCACCCATGCACCCATGCACCCATGCACACATGCACACATGCACCCATGCACGAATGCACACATGCACCCATGCACCCATGCACACACTCACCCATGCACACATGCACCCATGCACCCATGCACCCATGCACACATGCACCCATGCACCCATGCACACATGCACCCATGCACCCATGCACACATGCACACACTCACCCATGCACACATGCACACGAACAAACACATGCTCACACACAGGGGTGAATACTTGCGAAATAGGCATGGCTGGAAGGGAGAAGAGAGGAGGGAATTGAGAAGCGGCTGGTTTGGAAGGGACACGTGAAGCCACGTTATAGCTGCCGTGACCTGTGAAACGTGAGAGGCCAGCAGTTCAAGTTCGAATGGAAGAAGCCGCATGAAGGAGGACGAGGGGAAGTAGCAACTGGGGGTGAAGGCAAGGACGAGGGGAAGTGGCACCTGGGCGTCGAGGTAGGAGGGCCAGTCGTGGGAGAGCAGGAAGTAATCATTGCCGCCGCCCAGCGACTCCAGCAGCGGCCGAAAGTCGTCTGCCGGCCCAAACACCCCTGCCTCAATTGTGCGCACCACCTGGGGGAGAAGGGGAGGTTGGGGATGGTTGGGGGTTCCAGTTAGTTTGTGGAGCGCATGTCCACAGTCGCTCCCTCCCACCCTGTATTCCAAGCCAGCATTCACCTGGCCATTGCCATGCCCCTTCCCATGGCAGCACGGCTGCAGCATCCTGGAAAGAACGTCCCCCTGCCAGCACGGCAGCAGCACCTGAAGGAGGCTGCATGACAGCACGGCAGCACAGCAGCAGGACATCCGCACTGGCATAGCAGCAGCAGCACCTGAACGAGGCGGTCGTCGTGGATGGGTTGGCGGAAGCGCAGCGAGTGGCGCAGCGAGTGCGTCTCGTGAGCCAGCGCACCAAACACAAACACGTTCTCGCGGCCAATGGCGTTGGCGATCTCAATGGTGGCGCCGTCCATGGTGCCGAGCAGCAGCCCCCCGTTGAGCGCAAACTTCATGTTGCTCGTTCCTGAGGCCTCCATGCCCGCTGTCGATATGTGCTGCGATATGTCACTCGCTGGCACTATCAGCTGCGGGCGGTGAGAGGGAAGAGCACGGGCGGGGGGGGCATGGCGAGGCGGAGAGTGCATAAGAAAAAGGTGAAGTGGAGGGAAGCAGCAAAGCGAGCAAGGGTGAAGGTGAGGATGGGCATGAGTGTGAGAGAGAGAGCGGCAGTGAGTGAGGCACCTGGGCGAGGGAGACGCTGTAGTTGGGCAGGAAGACGACTTTGAGCAGCCCGCTGATGTCCGAGTCGCTGTTCACCCTCGCCGCCACCCTGGCCGCATGGGCAAGATGCAGCACATGCAGACCAAGGGAGGCGTTGTGAGGTGGGGGAGAGGGTTGAGGGAATTACAGGCCGAAGTGGTGGGTGGATTGGGGATGCAGGAGGTACAGGGGAGTGGCTGTAACGCTGTTGAGTGGCAGTGGGGGTGGGGATGAAACGTGAATTGGGAGGAGAGCGGATTCTGATGAGGTGGACTCACGCGTTGATGAGGTGGATGACGCATTTGGCCCGGAAGTACCCCGGAGCCGCCTTGCCAGCAATGACCACCACCCGTGGCACCATGCGCGCCCTCTCCTCAAAGCTGCTGCACTGCACGGTGGGGGGAGAGGAGGTGAAGGCGGGGTATCAGTTTCACATGCATGGCTGCTGCATGGCGCGTGCAGGGCACATGGCACATGCTGACACATGCACGGAACATGGCCCATGCAGGACAATTGACGCGGTGCTATCCCAGTGGTACCACTGGGATGATACCACCGCTATCCCAGTGGGCTCTGCACCTTGATGCTGTTGTAGCGGTGGATGACCGCCAGGATGTTGAGCAGCTGCCGCTTGTACTCGTGGATGCGCTTCGCATGGCAGTCAAACAGCGCAGCACTCTCCACCTGCCACCCATTGGTGTGGGGGAGAAGGGAAATGTTGGGGGTACGAAAAAGAAGAAAGTATTAGCTTTTCTTATGTGCAGGGAGCCAGTGCGGGGATGATGGGAGCAGGGCAGAGACGCAAGGTGCATGTGTGTCAAACAGTCATTGCTGTCCACCTGTCACACACCCCAACACATGGTAAGAATTTGCCTGCCTTCCCCATCCCTCTTCTCTCCCTCCCCCTCCCTCTTCTGTCCCTCCCCCTCCCTCTTCTGTCCCTCCCCATCCCTCTCTCCCTCCGCATCCCTCTCTCCCTCTCCCACCTGCACGCCACACGTCTTGCGGATGTACACCGCGAGTCGCTCCTTGTTGGCCACCTTGGCAGCGGTCCAGTCAGCATGCAGCGCGGGCGAGTTAGCGTATGCCCGCAGCCCCTGGATGAGGGAGAGGTCCCGCACCCACTCGTCCGAGCCCAGCCACTTGGTGATCACCTGCATCAAGGGGAGAGGAGCAGGGGTTGGGACGGGGGAAGAAAAGTGTGGGCAGGCAAGCTGGCGTGCGCTTGCAGGCCCTGGATGAGAGAGAGCGCAGAAGGAAATAGGGGTGATGGGAGTGTAGGTGCGCGAGCTGGCATGTGCCCTCACGCCCAGGATGAGAGGCAGGTTGATCCCAGCCACTTGGTGCTCTGTTAGGCTGTTAGGCTCTTAGGCTGTTAGGCTGTTAGGCTATTAGGCTGTTATGCTGTTAGGCGGTTAGGCTGTTAGGCTATTAGGCGGTTAGGCTGTTAGGCTATTAGGCTGTTATGCTGTTAGGCGGTTAGGCTGTTAGGCTATTAGGCTGTTATACTGTTAGGCGGTTAGGCTGTTAGGCTATTAGGCTGTTAGGCTGTTGGGCTATTAGGTTCTTAGGCTGTTAGACTACTATTAGGATGTTAGGCTAATGGGATATTAGGCTGTTTAACTATTAGGCTATTAGGCTGTTGGGCTGTCAGGCTATTAGGCTATTAGGCTGTTAGGCTATTAGGTTGTTAGGCTATTAGGCTACTAGGCTATTAGGCTGTTGGGCTGTTGGGCTGTTAGGCTATTAGGGGTTGTTAGGTTGTTAGGCTGTTAATTTGTTAGGTTGTTAGGCTATTAGGCTATTAGGCTGTTAGGCTATTAGACTGTTGGGCAGTTGGGCCATTAGGCTGTTAAACTATTAGGCTATTAGGCTGTTAGGCTGTTAGGTTATTTGGCTATTAGGCTGTTAGGCTATTAGGCTATAAGGCTATTAGGCTGGTAGGCTTTTAGACTATTAGGCTACTAGGCTGTTAGGCTGTTAGGCTGTTAGGCTATTAGGCTATTAGGCTGTTAGGCTATTAGGCTATGAGGCTGTTAGGCTATTACGCTATGAGGCTGCTAGGCTATTAGTCTATTAGGCTATTAGACTATTAGGCTATTAGGCTATTAGGCTATTAGGCTGTTGGGATGTTAGGTTGTTAGGCTGTTAGGCTACTAGGCTGTTAGGCTATTAGGCTATTAGGCTGTTAGGCTGTTAGGCTATTAGGCTGTTAGGCTATGAAGCTATTAGGCTGTCAGGCTGTTAGACTATTAGGCGACTAGGCTGTTAGGCTGTTAGGCTGTTAGGCTATTAGGCTATGAGGCTGTTAGGCTATTAGGCTATCAGGCTGTTAGGCTATTAGTCTATTAGGCTATTAGACTATTAGGCTATTAGGCTATTAGGCTGTTGGGATGTTGGGTTGTTAGGCTGTTAGGCTATTAGGCTGTTAGGCTATTAGGCTATTAGGCTGTTAGGCTGTTGGGCTATTAAAGTATTAGGCTGTTAAACTATTAGACTATTAGGCTGTTGGGCTGTTAGGCTATTAGGCTATTAGGCTGTTAGGCTGTTAGGCTGTTTGGCTGTTAGGCTGTCGAGTTGTTAGGCTATTAGGCTATTAGGCTATTAGGCTGTTAGGCTGTTAGGCTATTAAGCTATTAGGCTGTTAGGCTGTTAGGCTATTAGGCCATTAGGCTATTAGGCTATTAGGCTATTAAGCAATTAGGCTATTAGGCTATTAGGCTGTTTGGCTATTAGGCTGTTAGGCTATTCAGCTGTTAGGCTGTTAAACTATTAGGCTATTAGGCTACGGTGCTATTAGGCTGTTAGGCTGTTAGGCTATTAGGCTATTAGGCTGTTAGGCTATTAGGCTATTAGGTTGTTAGGCTGTTAGGATGTTAGGCTGTAAGGGTATTAGGCTATTAAGCTGTTAGGCTATTGGGCTGTTAGGCTGTTGGGCTATTAGGCTGTAAAACTATTAGGCTATTAGGCTGTTAGGCTGTGAGGCTATTAGGCTATTAGGCTGTTAGGCTGTTAGGCTATTAGGCTATTAAGCTATAAGGCTATTAGGCTGTTAGGCTATTAGACTGTTAAAATGTTAGGCTGTTAGGCTGTTAGGCTATTAGGCTGTAAGGCTATTAGGCTATTAAGTTGTTAGGCTGTTAGGCTATTAGGCTATTAGGCTGTTAGGTTAGGCTGTTAGGCTGATAAACTATTAGGCTATTAGGCTGTTAGGCTGTTAGGCGATTAGGCTGTTAGGCTATGAAGCTATTAGGCTGTCAGGCTGTTAGACTATTAGGCGACTAGGCTGTTAGGCTGTTAGGCTGTTAGGCTATTAGGCTATGAGGCTGTTAGGCTATTAGGCTATCAGGCTGTTAGGCTATTAGTCTATTAGGCTATTAGACTATTAGGCTATTAGGCTATTAGGCTGTTGGGATGTTAGGTTGTTAGGCTGTTAGGCTATTAGGCTGTTAGGCTATTAGGCTATTAGGCTGTTAGGCTGTTGGGCTATTAAAGTATTAGGCTGTTAAACTATTAGACTATTAGGCTGTTGGGCTGTTAGGCTATTAGGCTGTTAGGCTGTTAGGCTGTTAGGCTGTTTGGCTGTTAGGCTGTTGAGTTGTTAGGCTATTAGGCTATTAGTCTATTAGGCTGTTAGGCTGTTAGGCTATTAAGCTATTAGGCTGTTAGGCTGTTAGGCTATTAGGCTATTAGGCTATTAGGCTATTAGGCTATTAAGCAATTAGGCTATTAGGCTATTAGGCTGTTTGGCTATTAGGCTGTTAGGCTATTCGGCTGTTAGGCTGTTAAACTATTAGGCTATTAGGCTACGGTGCTATTAGGCTGTTAGGCTGTTAGGCTATTAGGCTATTAGGCTGTTAGGCTATTAGGCTATTAGGTTGTTAGGCTGTTAGGATGTTAGGCTGTAAGGGTATTAGGCTATTAAGCTGTTAGGCTATTGGGCTGTTAGGCTGTTGGGCTATTAGGCTGTAAAACTATTAGGCTATTAGGCTGTTAGGCTGTGAGGCTATTAGGCTATTAGGCTGTTAGGCTGTTAGGCTATTAGGCTATTAAGCTATAAGGCTATTAGGCTGTTAGGCTATTAGACTGTTAAAATGTTAGGCTGTTAGGCTGTTAGGCTATTAGGCTGTAAGGCTATTAGGCTATTAAGTTGTTAGGCTGTCAGGCTATTAGGCTATAAGGCTGTTAGGTTAGGCTGTTAGGCTGATAAACTATTAGGCTATTAGGCTGTTAGGCTGTTGGGCTGTTAGGTTATTAGGCTATTATGCTGTTAGGCTGTTAGGCTGTTAGTCTGTTAGGTTAGGCTATTAGGCTATAAGGCTATTAGGCTGTTGGGCTATTAGGCTGTTAGGCTACTAGGCTATAAGGCTGTTAGGCTGTTAGGGTGTTAGGCTATTGGGCTGTTGGGCTGTTGGACTGTTGGGCTGTTAGGCTGTTAGGCTGTTAGGCTATTAGGCTATTAGGCTATTAGGTTGTTAGGCTGTTAGGCTATTAGGCTGTTAGGCTATTAGGTTGTTAGGTTGTTGGGCTATTAGGCTGTTAAACTATTAGGCTGTTAGGTTGTTAGGCTATTAGGCTATTAGGTTGTTAGGCTGTTAGGCTATTAGGCTATTAGGCTGTTAGGCTAATAGGCTATTAGGCTGTTAGGCTGTTAGGCTATTGAGCTATTAGGCTGTTAGGCTGTTAGGCTATTAGGCTATTAGGCTATTAGGCTGTTAGGCTATTAGGTTGTTAAGCTGTTAGGCTGTTAGGCTGTTAGGCTGTTAGGCTGTTTGGCTGTTAGGCTGTTAAGCTGTTAGGCTGTTAGGATGTTAAACTATTAGGCTATTAGGCTGTTAAGCTGTTGGGCTATTAGGCTGTTAGACTATTAGGCTATTAGGCTGTTAGGCTGTTAGGCTATTAGGCTATTAGGCTGTTTAACTATTACGCTATTAGGCTGTTAGGCTATTAGGCTATTAGGCTGTTAGGCTGTTAGGCTGTTAGGCTATCAGGCTATCAGGCTGTTAGGCTGTTAAGCTGTTAGGGTATCAGGCTGTTATGCTGTTAGGCTGTTAGGCTGTTAGGCTATTAGGCTGCTAGGCTGTTAGGCTGTTAGGCTATTAGGCTGCTAGGCTGTCAGGCTATTAGGCTGTTAGGATGTTAAACGATTAGGTTATTAGGCTGATAGGCTAGGAGAAGGTGGAAAGCAGGTTTGGGGGAGGAAGTCACAGGACTGATTTGTCTAAAAAGAAAGAAATGGGAAACTTCACTTCTTTTCCCCACTCCCACCCAACCCCAGATGCCCCTTAACCTCCCCCGGACGCCCCTTGCCCTCCCCTCTTCACGTGCCTGTGAGAGCCGCGGATTGGCGAGCAGCAGCCAGCGGCGCGGGGTGACGCCGTTTGTCTTGTTGTGGAAGCGCGTGGGGAAGAGGTCGACAAAGTCTGGAAACAGCTGCGTGCGCAGCAGCGTGGAGTGCAGCTCCGCTACGCCGTTGATGGCGTGCGATCCAACGGCTGCCAGCACGGCCATGCGCACCATCTTGGGGTGACTCTCCTCTATGATGGACAGCCGTGCCATGCGTTGCCCCTCCCCCATGCACCTCGCCTCCACCTCCTGCTCCACACGCACAGGAACACACACGCACAGAGGACACGGGCACACACCAGGTCAAATCCAGGAGTACGGTTAGGACTTTTGAAACACCTAGACTTGAGCATCGTGCCTGCACCTCATGAAGCACGCAAGGCCACCCGCACAGGCGCAGAGAGTAATGTATGGAGCCAACCCAAGAAGACACTGCACACAGCCCCACGAGAGGGCGGCTGGTTCTTGAGCTGCCTGAATGGCTATTGCTGTGCTGTGGCACGATTGCGCTGGCCCCGTACAAGGTCACATGGTGGACTGCAGTGGACTCGAGATGACATAGAGCTGACTGCTGGGCCCAAACTCACCTGCAGGTGGCGGTGGTTGATCTCAAATATAAGATCCATGACGCGCGGCAGCACGGTCTGCAGCAGCGGCACCGGCCAGCGCTCCAGCGCCTCAGGCAGCACGGTGTGGTTGGTGAAGGCCAGCAGCGCCACCGTGGCCCGCCAGGCGTCGCCCCACTCCAGCCCGTGCTCGTCCAGCAGCAACCGCATGGCCTCTGGCACCGCTAAAGCTGGGTGCGTGTCGTTCAGCTGAACCGCTGCTGCCTCCGGCAGGGATGACAGCGGGCGGCCAGCCGCCACGTGCCGCGCTATTATGTCCTGGTGACGAAGGGGGGGTGGTGGGCGCGAGGAGGGAGGAGGGGGGAGGAGAGGGGAGAGGGGAGAGAGCAGGGAGGGGAGGGGGAAGGGAGGGGATGAGTGCAGCAGCGAGGCAGAACCGAGCTCTCCATGCTCGTCCAGCAGCAGTCGCATGGCCTCTGGCACTGCTAGCGCTGGGTGTGTGTCGTTCAGCTGCACTGCTGCTGCCTCTGGCAGGGATGACAGCGGGCGGCCTGCTGCCACGTGCTGTGCTATTATGTCCTGATGGCCAAGGGTAGGAGGGAGGGAGGAGAGGGGGATTGGAGGAGGATTTGAGGCATCTTATGAGACGTCTCAAAACCCAGTATGAGCGAGGCAGCCGCTCTCCCCCCACATACACACCTGCAGCGTGGCGGAGACAAAGAAGTACTCCTGCTGCAGGCGCAGCTGCCTGCCCGCCTCGCTGCTGTCCTCGGGGTACAGCACCGCACTGATCGCCGCCGCCCTCGCCGCCCCGCCCACCGCCTCCACGTGCCGCCCCGCGTTGAATAAGGACAAGTCAAAGCCGCCCGAAAGCGGCTCGCTGGTGGGACGGGTGGGGATAACACCAACCAAACGGAGGGAGCATGCATAACACCAACCAAAGGGGTGCACCGCACAGCACCGCGGAGCAGGGCACAGCATGGGCGCAACGCAATATCCAACAGATATAACAGCACGAAGCAGAGCACAACACACTCAGCTCTGCACCCCTTCCCTCTCACAGTCCAAGTAACCACTCCTCACTCGCCAATACCCCTCCCCTCCTCGTCCCCCTCCCTCACCAGCGCCAGAGGCGGAGGCGGTTGACGGTGGCGGTCTTAAAGCCCGGCACGGGGATGTCACTCGCCACCGCCTCCACCTGCTCGCCGCCCTCCCACCGGTACCGCGTGCGCGTGCCCTCCACACGCACTGCCACGTGGCCAAAGAAGCGCACGGGGTGGCGCACGTGGGGGCGCGGGATCTCCCAGGGGCACCCCCACGGGTGCAGCCACGCGTCCGGCGCCTCCTGCTGCCTCAGCGCCGCCACCCGCTGCTCAAACATGCCGTAGCGGTACCGCACCCCGTAGCTGCTTGGGGAAAGGGGGTTGGGAGGAAGGGGGCAAGTAGAAAGAAAGGAGGAAGTGGGATTATATGGCCCGTCTGTGTCATGCGCTGCTCTAACATGCCGAAGCAGTACCTCACTCCGTAGCTGCTTGGGGGGAGGGCAGGGGAAGGGCAGGCAGCAAGAGAGGAGGGAGTGGGAATGTATGGCCTGTCAATGTATGGCCTGTCAATGTATGGCCTGTCAATGTATGGCTGTCAATGTATGGCCTGTCAATGTATGGCCTGTCAATGTATGGCCTGTCAATGTATGGCCTGTCAATGTATGGCCTGTCAATGTATGGCCTGTCAATGTATGGCCTGTCAATGTATGGCCTGTCAATGTATGGCCTGTCAATGTATGGCCTGTCAATGTATGGCCTGTCAATGTATGGCCTGTCAATGTATGGCCTGTCAATGTATGGCCTGTCAATGTATGGCCTGTCAATGTTATGGCCTGTCAATGTATGGCCTGTCAATGTATGCCTGTCAATGTATGGCCTGTCAATGTATGGCCTGTCAATGTATGGCCTGTCAATGTATGGCCTGTCAATGTATGGCCTGTCAATGTATGGCCTGTCAATGTATGGCCTGTCAATGTATGGCCTGTCAATGTATGGCCTGTCAATGTATGGCCTGTCAATGTATGGCCTGTCAATGTATGGCCTGTCAATGTATGGCCTGTCAATGTATGGCCTGTCAATGTATGGCCTGTCAATGTATGGCCTGTCAATGTATGGCCTGTCAATGTATGGCCTGTCAATGTATGGCCTGTCAATGTATGGCCTGTCAATGTATGGCCTGTCAATGTCACGCGCTGCTTAAACATGCCGTAGCGGCACCGCACTCCGTAGCTGCGTGGGTGGGGTGGAGCAGGCGAAGGGCAGGAGCGAGTGGGAGCACATGCCATATGGTGGCAGGGAGGGTGGTGGCAGCACTGATCGCCAAGCATGCACATTCAGCCCAGTACTCCAGCAGCAGCAGCAGCGGAGCTTACCCCCAGGCGGGGAGGTTCAGAGTGGTGAGGGAGTCGAGGAAGCATGCAGCAAGGCGGCCCAGCCCGCCATTGCCCAGCGCCGGGTCGCGCTCCTCCTCTGCCGCCTCCTCCATGCTCACCCCCAGCTGCTGCAGCGCTGCGCTGTACTGCTCCTGTTGTGTGGGGGAGGTGGGGTGGGATGGGAGAAAAGGGGGTGGGGAGGGGCGCGCTCCTCCTCCACTGCTTCCTCCATCGACACGCACTGCTGCTGTACTGTACTGCTCCTGTTGAGGGGGAAGAAAGAGAAGAGGAGGGAGCAGGTGGGTGCGAGAAGTGGGGTGGGAAGTGGGGGGGCAAGGAGAAGGTGGTGGGGGGGGGGGGGGGGGGGGGGGGGGTGGAGATGAGGGGGTTGCTGCACGGGGAGCAGCGGGAGTGAGGCGGTAACAGGGTGCGGTGGAGAAGTTGCACGTGTGTGGAAGGGCGCGTGAGTGGGGCATGTGTTGACGGTTCGAAACGAGGACGGATCAAGGGAGAGCGAGGGCGAGAGTGCAGCGGACTTACATCGAGGCCGAGGCATGTGACTGCCAGCTGCAGCATCCGCCCTATAAGGTACTCCATTGATAGATAGTACACCCGCTTGCACCCCTGCTCGCCGCGCACGCGCACGCGCACGCTCACACGCACACGCACACGCACACGCACACGCACGGAGAGAGGGCGAGAGAGGGCGGGAGGGGAAGGGAAAGAGGAACATTTCACAGCCACCGTCCAAACGCATTCTCTAATGAAATCCACGTACGACGAAGCTTTCTCTCCTTTGTGCCACCATCTCAACCGACCTACTAGTCATCTTTCATCCGAATTCAGTCTCCAACCCTCAATGCGCTCGGATTTGCGCGCCTCACCGCGTCGTCGTAAGCGCGTTCCGTCGCATCCATCCGCGCGATCAGGTGGTCTCGCACGCTCATCGCAGCCGCGCGGTAAACGTCGCCCGGCGACAGGTTGTCGCGATCGCCGCACGCGAGCGAGCAGTGCGCGTGTCGCACGATGGCACGGTGCACCGACCCCGCCGTCACCGCCTCCTCGTTTCCCCCCGCCTCGCGCCCGCCCTGCTGCGCCGCCAAGCTGCTCGGCGCGCTTAGGCGTACGCCGCAATCATACGGCGCACGAGCGCCAGCTGGCTCCCCTAAAGTGTCTGGACATGCTGATGGGGGCGCGGATGCTGCGCCGTTGGACGCGGCGCCTGGCACGGGACATGTATCTTCCGCCGCCATACGTAACTCTAACATTCAGCTGCTGCAAAGCGAACCGACGGACCGCGCTAAGGAGTGAAGAGAAAAATACTTGCCATCTCCGGTGTGGCCGACTTGGAACGTGGCATTGTGCGGTTGGGGGTGGAGGGGATTGGTCTGATCGATCTGACATGACAGGTGTTGGGATAAGTGACACCTCGATATGTGCAGTGCACGTTTCTGTATATTAGAGAAGTGATGCTTCGATATGGTATTAGAGAAGTAAATATGATATGTATACTTCCTCCACCTCTCTGTAATGTGTAGCCCTAGAGTTAACTTCACTCATATTAAGTGAAGAATCAAAATTTTTATTTATTATGGAAAGACACAGAATAAGGAAGAGGTAGTTCGAATCAACCGTTTTAAGGAAAGAAAAAAAAATCACTACCGGGCTTGTTTTCCTAAAGTTGTATTGTATACGTTTTGTAGTATACAGCTGTTACGTGTGCAATTGAGTGAACGAACGAGAATTGCACTATCGAAGCAAAAGTACAATGAGCGAAGGCATGAGCGAAGGATTATATAGCGAAACAATAGTGGTAACGGTAATGGACTGTGGTTGTCGCGCGTCGAGCCTGAGACTGAGGTTGGGAAAATGTCGAAGCGTAGGCCCGGAGCGCGGGTTACCAGCCGAGCCGTGAGGTCGGGATGCGATGTGCGAAAAAGGCGGGATGATGAATGATGCGATGGTCGCGAGTGGTAACGGTGCTGACTGAGGTGCTACAGTGACGTACGCGCTGGGCAGGGACGCGAAGTAAGGAAAAGGGAATTTCCTTACACTACCCCCCTCCCCAAGGAGGCCCCTTCTTACGAGAGCGCATGGACATCTCGGAAATTTCGGCTTCGCAGATACTCGGTGAAGACAGGGTGGTTCTCAATTTTATCCAGGGGGACCCAGTTGTCTTCTGTGGGCGTTCGGTCCTTCCAGCGAATTAGGAACTCGATCCTTCGGGCTCCCCGAGGGTCGCGGACGCGGTGGCTGAGGATTTTGTCAGGGGTGATGAGTGGTTCGGTTGGGGGACGTGTCATGCTGGCTGGGCGAGTTCGTGGCAATTGGCTCGTGGATGGGATGTAAGGGCGAAGTAGGCTGACGTGGAATGACGGGCTGACGTACCAGTCAGCGCGGAGGAGGAGGTGGGCGGTGACGGGTGTGATCATGTGGCTGATGCGAAATGGCCCACAATATCGGGGGCGAAGTTTTGGAGTGATGGGCAGGCGAAGGTTCTGAGTGTCGAGTAAAACGAGGTCGTCGGGCTGATAAGTAACGGGTCTGCGATGTCGATCGGCGTTGCGTTTAGCGATGATGTTTGATTTTTTTATTGCTTCTGCTGCCCTGGTCCGTGCTGCCTGCAGAATCTCGGCGAACTGTTGTGCTCGTGGGACGGGGTTGTCGGGATTCGGTGTCATGGGTACTGTTGGGTCCTGTCCGTAATTTAGATAAAACGGCGATTGTTGCGTCGTGGCTGATGGTGCGTTATTGTATGCGAACTCGATGAGTGGCAGTTGCTGTTCCCACGTATTCGGGTCGTCGCACGTGGCTCGAATCAGCTGCTCCATGGTCTGATTTGTCCGTTCCGTCTGTCCGTCGGTTTCGGGGTGATAGGATGAACTGAACTGTAAGCGTGTGCCGAACTGTTGCCACAGGTTTCGCCAGAAGTTGCTGGTGAATTTCGTGTCCCTGTCGCTGATGATCGACGCGGGTATCCCGTGCAGTCGTACGACGGTAGAGATGAATAGTCGGGCGGTTTCTTCGGCTGTGATGGATTTCCTGCATGCTGCGAAATGAGCCATTTTCGTTAGTCGATCGACGACGACCAGGATCGCGTCATTCCCACTCGCCCCAGCTGGTAACCCCGTGACGAAGTCCATCGTCACCTGCTGCCAAGCACGCTCTGGAGGCGGGATGGGTTGTAATTGCCCCGCTGGTCGCTTCCTGCTCGTCTTCATGAGCTGGCAAGTGGGGCACGATGCCACATGTCGTTGCACATCGGTCAACATTTCTGGCCAGTAGTAGTACCGCTGCAGCTGCTGCCGTGTTTTTTCTACCCCGAAATGTCCCGAGGTAACTCCATCGTGTGCTTCCTGTAACAGTAGTTCCCGCAGCAGCGTGTATCCCGGTACCCAGATGCGGTCGGTTCCAGTTTTTACGTAATAGACTCCTTTTGCCGCTGCGAATTGCTGTGAGTTGCCTCCTGTAAAGAACGAGTCTGTTTGATATCCGTGGGTAAATAGGCCGGTAAGCAGTGGGCTGGTCTGGGCGAGTAGTATCGCGTGGATCTGGGCAGTGGGGCGGGTCAGTGCGTCGGCGATATTCGATGCTCCTTTTTTGTATGTGACCGTATAGTGAAAATTCGACTCGAGGAAATCGAGCCATCGAATCTGTCGTGGGTTGAGGTGGGGCTGTGCGCGGAGGTACTGTAGAGATCGGTGGTCTGTCCGTACTGTCACGTCTGCGCCAGTCAAGTAGCAGCGCCAAACTTTGAATGCATGCACGATCGCGAGCATTTCGCGGTCGTGTATCGGATAATTTCGCTCAGGCGGATGTAGTTTGCGTGATTCGTAGGCGATGGGTTGGAGGCCGTTGCCGAAGTCCTGTAACAGTACAGCTCCGATGGCGATGTTACTTGCGTCGGTAACCACTTCGAAAGGGCGGTGGGGATCAGCGATACGTAGAACGGGTGGTGAACAAAGGACGTTTTTTAGGGCAGAGAAGGCAGCATGCTCTTTCTCCCCCCACGTAAAAGTGACCCCCTTACGCAGTAAATCAGTTAGTGGGGCTGTTAAACGTGCCATGGCGGGCACGAACCGTCGAACGTAATTAACAAACCCTAAAAAACTCTGCAGTTCCGTGATGTTTGTCGGGGGGCGCCACGCTTTTACCGTATCCAGCTTCTTTGGGTCGATCTCAACCCCAGCCTCGGAAATGACGTGACCTAAAAACTCTAGCCTATCCCTAAAGAACTCGCACTTGGAGCCTTTGGTGAGCAGCCGATGTTCCTCTAAAACCTTAAAAACTGCTTCGAGGTCTGCTAAGTGTTGCTGCTTATCCCGACTGTAAACGAGGATATCGTCGAGGTAAACGATCACGCATTTATCTAAAAGCGGTCTAAACGCCTCGTTCATGGTCATCTGAAAAGTCGCAGGCGCGTTCGTTAACCCGAAAGGCATTACTGTATACTCGAATGACCCGTACCTAGTCCTAAATGCTGTTTTTGCGCAGTCCGATGGTTCGACCCGAATTTGATGGTAACCTCCCCGTAAATCTATTTTCGAAAAGACACGTGCCGTTCGCAGTTGGTCAATGAGTTCGTCGGCGCGGGGGATGGGGTATCGCGATTTGACTGTTACTCGGTTAAGCGCTCGGTAGTCGATGCACATGCGAAAACCTCCGTCTTTTTTCGGTGTGAACAGTATGGGTGCGGCGAACGGTGACGAGCTTGGGCGAATAAACTGCTTCTCTAACAGGTACTCTAACTGCTTCCTTAACTCGTCGAGCTCGGGCTGTGTCAGTCGAAATTGCCGCTGTACTGTTGGTTGTGCCCCTGGTTCTAGCTCGATCCTATGGTCGTGCGCTCGCTGAGGTGGCAGTCCCTGTGGTAAATCATCCGGAAATATCCCCGGGAACCGTTTCAGTAGTGCTTGTAATTCGGTCGGTACGGCTGCTAGCAGTTTCTGTAAATCGTTATGCTGCTCGTCTTTTTCTACCACTGCGATATCCACTGCGTACACGTCAGCTCCAGCAGCGACAGCCCGTTTCATCGCGATGGCGTTGACCTGGACTGTCGAAGATTCAGGTGACCGCCAGCGAGGTAGGACGACCCAGTTACCGCTACTTCGCACTGTGCAGCTCCCCGTCGTCCAGTCGATTCGTGGGTTGTACCGTCGCAGCCAATCACGTCCCAGTAAAATGTCGTGCCCATCCAGCGTCGTTGCGAGCATTTCCTGTGTAAACCCGAAGTTTCCCCCGCAGCGGACTTTTACTCGCTCCACCTTTTCTCGTATGGCCAATGGCGTGCCGTCGACTAAGCGTGCATCTATCTCAGGTAAACATCGGTTAAGTGTTAACTGTAATTTCCGTGCGGTTGCAGTATTAACTAAGCTGTGACTTGCTCCTCCGTCAATGAAGATTTTTACTGCTGCTCCCTGTATTTTCCCGTAGATCAGTACCGGGCAATCCGTCGCTGTACCCTCCTTATTCATCCGAGCCCGATCGATGGCGTGAATCGGTACTGTGACTCGGTGAGGGTCGGTGTGGTTGGGCGAGCAGGCAGTCTCGTCAGTAGTTGGCCCAACTTCTACTGACTGCTGGCGTTTCCCTGCCTCCGAGACTCCTTCCCCTGCTCTGCTCCTCGACGTCTCAGCTCCTCTGGACATTCGCTCTTGCGATGGCCCGGCCGGTTGCAAGCAAAGCAGTGCCCTCTAAATGGCGTGGCAGCTGCATTCGTTGCGACGGCATGTACAGTGGCGTGCTCGATCGGTCCCCGAGGACGATGTCCGAAATAGGACCCCGGTCTCGGTCGGCGTAGGATATCGATTTTCTCGGCGAGCGCGAGGATTTCGTTGAAATTCGATAGTCCGCGTAGCATTATCTCGTGCGATATGTCCGGCTTCAGCCCTCCGACGTAACGGTCCACCCGCTCCGCCTCGTGCATGTAGCCGACCTGTTCGCAAAGTGCGAGAAAACCGCTGGTGTAGTCTTGAACCGACCCGAGCTGGCGCCAAGTGCGCAGTTTCTGACGCGCCGAAATTGAAGCCGCGATCGGCTCAAAACGCGCCCGAAGCCCTGCACACCACGCATCCCACGTGCTGTATTGGGCTGTTTCGCAGAACGAACTCCAGGTGACAGCTGGACCCGAGGGCCCTTCCTCGTGCGACGGTGGCTCGTAGGCGCGTGGCGACGTCACGATGACTCGCCACCAGTCCATGGCGGGGCCCCTGAGTAGTGAAACCGCATACCGAATCTTGGCGGCGTCCGACTCGACGTAGTTGGCGTCGAAAAACACATTCATCGTGAAGACCCACGATTGAACTGTCGGGCCGCCGCGTTGGCTTGGGTCGAAGCAGGGCGGGCATTGCGGCTTGAGTGGCATTGGGGCCATCATGGCGTTTTCACCACTTGTCGTCGCAAACTCCACGTGCCGACGGGCTTCTCGGGGCTCCCGTGGGCTTAGCGTGCTCCTGTTCCCTCCCATGCCGGGCATCGGTTGGGCTGCGCCGTCACTGGCTGCGCCTGAGCGCTGTCCCGTGCTGTTGTGTTGCGTTGGTGTGCCGGATGAAATGATAATCGGCTCCTCCGAATGTACAGAGACATTGGTTGGTGCGTGGGATGTTGTCGGAGCATTCACCGTTGACTGTTGACGAGCGGAGTCACGTTCCGCCGTGAGCGTCGCGATTTCAAGCGCCGAATCCTCCAATTGTCGCACGAGACGATCGAGTTGCTCCTGCGTCAACGTGGCGAGATTGAGGTCGGCCATGGCGGGGGTGTCGGGCAAGCTCAGCGAGAGCCTCGGTCGTGGCCGTGCGTGCTTGCGAGAGAGCACTTCGAGCGGCGGTGCTGTGTCGCTGAGAGACGTCTACCCCCCCCCAAAAATTGAGATAGTGGGAAGCGAAGGTGTGGATGCGGTCCGAGATGAGATCGTAGGCTCTGAATACCAAGTGTTACGTGTGCAATTGAGTGAACAAACGAGAATTGCACTATCGAAGCAAAAGTACAATGAGCGAAGGCATGAGCGAAGGATTATATAGCGAAACAATAGTGGTAACGGTAATGGACTGTGGTTGTCGCGCGTCGAGCCTGAGACTGAGGTTGGGAAAATGTCGAAGCGTAGGCCCGGAGCGCGGGTTACCAGCCGAGCCGTGAGGTCGGGATGCGATGTGCGAAAAAGGCGGGATGATGAATGATGCGATGGTCGCGAGTGGTAACGGTGCTGACTGAGGTGCTACAGTGACGTACGCGCTGGGCAGGGACGCGAAGTAAGGAAAAGGGAATTTCCTTACAACAGCTGTCTTCTAAGAGGAGCTGTTGCTTCGCTTATCACGGTTGTGGAATTTTGGGGATTATTTGACTCATCAATTCTGTTGGTTCCAGAAGAAAGGCAAGTTCCAGTGTGGACACGTTCAGCGCACAGTTGTTTGGCAGCGGTGACGCATGCGCGCACTGCAGAAGTGTGCCCCTTGATTGCAGTGAGAGACGTTGGGTTGGGTTGGGACGAAACCTCAATGTGTGGTCACACTTCAACGATGTCAAAGCAGGGACCGGGTTTCGGTTTGGTGACAAGGGCAATCCCTGTCCCTTGCTGGTGTTACAAAACGAGTCCCACGCATGTGGCCTTGAATCGAAGCACTGACGGGCTGTTGGCTGAACAGCTTGACTGCTTTTCGATGATTGGCCCTACCGGGCAGTGGCGAGACTTGTCTTCGTCCAAACCAGGGGAGCTCGTCTCTCGCGCCGCTGCCGCGACCCAGAAACAAACGAGTGGCTGAGAGGGCTCTGAACCATCCCAGAATCGTAGGAAATTGCGACAGGCAGCTTTCAGGCGCACTAGTGTCGTGTCGTTTATCGTACTAGTGCACTGTTCGGTACGCTCGCATTTGCAGAACGATTCTCTACGCGACATTCAATTCGTTGAGTGATTTCAGCGATACCCATCATCCCAGCTGGGACGATTTGCTGCCTGATTTTTCTGGCAACACACCCCGCAGCATCTCACACTAAGCTACACATGATGCCTGTTTGAGCCCCTCCCGGTTGCCTTGTGAAGGGGGCGTATAGGCTGTAACTGGGCAATTCGCTTAAACTCGTCAATTCGCAGCTAGCTAAAAAGGATTCGCATGTGCTTATATACAAGATCTGTTACCATATTTGACTTCAGTCTATTCTGCTTGACTTCGGTCTGTTCGTTACTATTGGTTGATAACCACGCGACGCGCTTGTAATGTAGGTGCATGAGGCTGGGGAAACAACCTCGGGTGCAGCGTATCCATCTGGTGCAAGGCAAATTCGCGTGCATGGGGTGAGCATCAGCTGTATCCATTGCCTCACTTCCCGTTCTAAGATGCTCTTCGAGCGACACGACTCAGAGGACCACGTGGCGTGTGTCGGTGGACCACCTTCCAGCTGTAAATCACCACGCCTCTCTCCACACTCGTATTTCTGTTGCCTCATGAAACGTTATCACTTCTCCACTCTCCCTCATTTCCCGCTTTTCGTATTTCCCAGGTCCCCCTCCTGTTTGAGGTCCTTCGAGGCACATTTAGCTCAGCAGTCCTTGTTCGAACCGTTAGCTTGTCCATCGCTTTCCCAAGCGCGGTCCGGTCACCCCGTGTAGGTCCCCAAAATGCCGGCCATGGCGCTGAAGCTGTTCAAGCGCGGGCAGACCGTGCTGCTCATGCTGCCCGACGGCGGCATGCGCATATACGCGGACGCGGTGCGCGTGGCGCGCGTGATGAAGGACTATCCGGGCTTCATGGTCGGATCGCACAACTCCGCGCGCCTGCATCTCCCGCCCGAGAAGCTCCTGCGGCCCGGCAACTCTTACTTCCTCCACGCGCCCTCGGAGACCGATCCAGGCACCGCCGTGCCCCCGCCGCGGCTCGATACGACCGGCGGATTGGCCGAGTATACCCGCGATTATGGTGACTATGACAAGAGCTCGCCGGATCAATGGTCGCCCGCGAGCGACGCATCGTGGACGGCGAAAGAGGTGAGCCTTGCGACCTTGGCTTCTGCGGAATGCGGAGTGAAGGTCATCAACATTGCCTCGCCTTTCGTTGCATGAGCATTGGTATTACCGCCATCCTTTTGCGGAGCTACCGTTGGGCGCGTCGTTATCCATCCGTTGTTTTGGATCATGAATCGCCCTCTGACGCTGTATCCGTGCTTCCTCTCTCCCCCTCGCCATGGTCCGTCGCAGTTGCGCCGCGCCAGCATCTCTCTCCATTCATCAACAGCCGCCCGCCCATCTTTGCCGTCTCGCGCCAACTCCGCGCCGCGCTACAGCCTCGACGTGCGCAACGACGGCCGCGGCGGGATCCGTCGCAGCTTCTCAGCCAAAGATCTGGAGAACGTGCCCGTTCCACCGCCGCCGGCGGCGCCTGCGCCGGCTCCGTTTGCGCCGGCTCCGAAGCGACCTCCGGCATCACGCCTGGGTATGCGACGAAGCGCGTCGGCGCAGAACCTTGCTGAGCCCGGGTCCGTCGAGGCGGCCGTTGCGCGTTATTCCTACCTAGAGCCCCCTGCTGAGCACCCCGACGAACTCGAATCGCCGGATCATCCGCATCAGCGTCGCTGTTTTCACGCGAGGCACGGTAGTATGGAATGGCAACCTGAGACGCAATCGCCGTCGCAGTCGCACTGGTCATCGAAATCTCACTCGCACCCGCAGTCATACCAAACGCAGTGGGACGGCAATTCGCGCTTCGCTGCGGACGCGGCTCCGCGACAGCACTGGCAGCGCGCCGCTCTGTCAAATGCTGCGTCGACAGGGGCTTCCTCGTCGGGTTACCTATCGCGAACGTTCCCCGCCGTTGATTCCAGCCAGCCCGCCAGCCCATCCGGACCTCCCCGGCTGACTCGGCGCGCTTCGCTCGCAATTGACATGTCTTCCCTCGCCCTCTCCCCCTCCTCCATCGCTCCCCCGCAAACGTTTCGCCGCCTTCCCCCTAACTTCCAAGCGCAAGACGTCGCCCCCACGCCTGCGGTTCCCCCGCGCTTGCTGTGCGCGGGGGACGTGCGGGTCGCGCTGGGCGCCAGCATGGGCAAGTCGATGAGCTTCCCGGATTTCGCGGGTCTAGAGAGCGGTGACGTGGCGCTACGTGCGCAGTCGGGCTCGCGGGTGGCCCGGGGGAACAGCGGAGGCGGAAGCGGAGACTGGGGAAGCGGGGAAAACAGTCCGGGGGCAATCTGGGAGTGCGAGGAGGAGGAGGGGAGAATGGAAAGGAGCAGCAGCGGCGGCGGCGGCGGCGGCGGCGGATTAACCCGCAGGCGCTTGGGTATTCCCAGTAGTAGATACGCCGCCCCTGAGCCACAGTTGCCGCCGCTGCAGCCGCAGCAGCAGCAGCAGCAGCAGCAGAGGGCGTGGAAGGCAGGACAGTACGGGCAGCTCACTCCGCCCACTGGGTCTGGTCCGCTCCCCCCCATCTCCACGCACGCGCTCAACATGTCCCCCGCGTCCCCCTGCCAGCACTCGCCCAGTGTGTTCTCGCCTCTCGCCCGCTCTGCATACCACCACTCTCACTTTCAACACGTGCAGTTGCAGCAGGGGCTGTAGCCGTGCCACAGCAGAACCTTTGCAGGCTGTAGCAGGACCTTGGCTGCAGCAGGGGCTGTTGTAGGTGCAGCAGGAGCTGTGGCAGCTGTAGCAAGAGCTGTAGAGGCTGCAGCAGGATCTGAACCGGCTGTAGCAGCGCTGTAGTACCTGCAGCGGCTGTAGCAGATGTAGCAGGTGCTGAGCGTGCAAGTTGTGCAGAGGTGCTGGGGAGAGGGACGGTTGAGGTTGACGATACTGTTGACTGAGAGGGGTGGTGCACGGGTTGGACTCCGGGTTGGACTCCGGGTTGGACTCCGGGTTGGACTCCGGGTTGGACTCCGGGTTGGACTCCGGGTTGGACTCGGAGTTGCATGCATGCCTGAGCAGCAGGCTTGTGCACGCACAGCACAGGAGCAGGCAGCTCCCAACGGCAGTAGCCAGGCATGGCCTGCGCATTCTTTTGTGTGTGAGCGTGGCGAGGAGGTCCATGCTAGCTTAGATTAGATGTGTGTGGGGCGTGCGCCCTTGATGTGTGGTGTGGTGTGGAGTGGCGTGCACATGGTGCACCTAGTAGAGTAGGTATACTGACGCTACCTCCTGCTTGATGTGCTTCTTTCATACACCTCCAGTGTGGATGGTGAGGTAGCAACTTGTGTGGTATCACTTAGGAATTTATTTGTTGTATTACACATTAGCACATGTAATATAAATACCATTTATTGTACATTAAACTCAGGCACAATATCTAGCCAGCAACTGTGCCCTTTGCAAATCAAAAGGCTTTACAGTTAGAAGTTACTATGCAGTTGCGGACTGCGCAGTGCGCAGCAGGAAACTCAGAAGCCCAACTCCCCTTGCTCTACCCACTGGAAGGCACGAATCCAGCCGCTGTGGGGTGGGCACCAGGCTGAGACGGGAGTGCGTTGGAGTTGGAGCCAGCTGCAGCAGGAGAGGGAGCAGGGTCGGTGGAGGGCAGAGCTGCAGCAGCAGGCGCAGCATTGGCAGCAGCAGTGAACACAGCAGTGGGTGTGAGTGTGGGGGCGGGTGTGAGGGGGGGTGTGGCTGTGGCTGTGGCTGTGGCTGCGGGGGCGGGTGTGAGGGGGGGTGGAGGCAGGGCGGTGGGGCGGCAGCACCAGTTGGAGGCGGCGAAGAAGGGCTCGTGGCGCCACGAGATGATGAGCGCATCGCCGCGCCGCTCTATGCCGTACCCCTCCCTGTACCGCTTCAGCAGCAGCTGTGGGAATAGCGGGCAGCGGTGGGTTATGGGGTGCGTGCCCACAGGGAGGTTATGGGGGGAGATGGGATGGTGAGTTAGTGGGCACAGGGAAGCTGGCAGTAGGTGTTTGTGTGCGACATGAGAATGCATGCCAACACCAATGCTGCATGCTAGATGTGAGTAGTTACTTGAAAGGTTACGAACCAGAGGGTGAGTCAACCTGCAACGAACACCAACGCTGTGGGTGCACTTCCCATCAACAGTACACGTCAGCACTCACATGCGCGTTCTCCTCCACGTCAGCGCTGACAGCGCGTGGCACGAACCCGCAGCGCTGCATGCGCTCATGCCAGCGGGCGTGGCTCTCATGCCGCTCCACGCGCTCGCGCCCCTCACAGGCGATGATGTTGACGAGCTTGCGCCCGAATATCCTCTCCTCCACCAGCGCTCTCTCCGTGCTGTTCCATGGCAGGCTGGCGTCCAGCGACTCGTAGAGAGCGCTGAAGTAGTGCAATGCCTCTCGGAAGCGCGATAGGAAGGAGGGTATGTTGTGATCCGCGTGCTGGGGGGGGGATTGGGAGGAAGCATGGAGAGGTGGGAGAGGTGGGAGAGGAGGTGGAAGGGGAGAAGGAGAGTGACGATGGTGGATATGAGTTGACAAGGAGATGGAAAATCGCCAGACAGAGTTTTATTTTTGCATGCACCTAAAGCACCCCACTCTCTCCTCCCCCCACATCTCCCACACTCCACACTCTTCCCTTCCCCCCACCTGTTCAATGAGAGTGACGATGGCGGGGTTGAGGGAGCGGATCATCTGGAGCGTGCAGTTGCGCTGGCTGGGCACGTGCGGTGCGCTGCTCTCGTCGCGCATCTGGTGCAACCGCAGCAGGCAGTTCACCACCAGCACCTCGTCGCTCCTCACTGAGAAATGCTCCGGCTGGAGGGGTTAGAGGAGTGGGGGCGAGGGGAGAGATGAGGGAAGAGCGAAGGGGAGGGATAAGGGGACAGAGAGAAAGATGAGGGGGAAGCAGCATCTGGTGCAGCCGCAGAAGGCAGCTCACCACCAACACCTTGTCGCTCCTCACTGCGAAGTGCTCAGAGGAGTTGGGTTGGAAAAGTGGGGGCGAAGCGAGAGATGAGGGGAGGGGGAAGGGGAGAGACAAGGGGATATGGAGAGAGATGAGGGGAGAGTAGCATCTGGTGCAGCCGCAGCAGGCAGGCAGTTCACCACCAACACCCCATCGCCGCGCCCTGTAATCTGCTCTGGCTGGAGAGGTGAAGCACTGGGGTATGGGGGGGATCGATGAGGGGAGAGGAGGAGAGAGATGAGGAGAGAACGAGGGGGAAAGCAGCATCCGATGCAGACTGAGCAGGCAGCTGATCATCAGAACCTCGTCACTCCTCACTGCTTAATACTCGGACTCAGGAGGTTACAAGTAGGGGAAGCAGAGAAGAGTGCGTGGTGAGGGGGGGAGGGCGGGAGAGGAGGATAGCATGTGTGTTGCATTGCGAGGAGGCAGAGGGAGATAGAAGGGCAGGGGAAATGGGCGGAGGAACGGACTGGCGTGCAAAGACAACTCCTATGCAGAGCAACAGACGCGCACGGCAGGCATATTGATCTTGACACAGGCAGGCAGGCACGCAGGCGGTCAGGCAGGCAGGCGGGCAGGCAGGCAGGCAGGCGGGCGGGCAGGCAGGCAGGCAGGCGGGCGGGCGGGCGGGCGGGCAGGCAGGCAGGCAGGCGGGCAGGCAGGCAGGCAGGCAGGCAGGCAGGCGGGCGGGCGGGCAGGCAGGCAGGCAGGCAGGCAGGCGGGCGGGCGGGCGGGCGGGCAGGCAGGTAGGCGGGCGGGCAGGCAGGCAGGCAGGCAGGCAGGCAGGCGGGCGGGCAGGCAGGCAGGTGGAGGGGCGCACCTTGAGGTCGTCGAGCTGCTCTGTGATGGGCGTGAACTCAAACGGCACTCCTATCACCCTCGCAAACGCTGACAGCCGCCGCCCCGTCTCCTGCCATGCAAGGGCGGCACACATGGGGGAGGAGGAAGGGGGGAGAAGTAGGGGGAGGGCATGGAAAGGTGAGGAGGAGAAAGTCGAACAGGTTGGTGTTGCGTGATGGTCGCGAAGCGACATGCACCCATGCGCATAGCAAGCACGCAGACAGCCACGCAGCCACGCAATGCAGCTGCAGCCAGCACTGCTCGAGTCCAGTGAGCGATGCACTGGACCCCGCCGTGCTCCCCACGTGCCGCGCAGGTGCCGCACAACCCATGCACCGTCACCCCTTCCCCCCCTCTCACCCACCCAAGCACCTGCAGAAGTACCCAGCCATCCCACCCACCCATCCCGCCCACCCATCCCGCCTACACACCTCCAGCGAGGAAGGCTTGAGCCCGGTGAGAGGCGCATCCACCCCCGTGATCCTCAGGTGCGGGGGCCCGCCAGGGCGCGTGGCAAGGCTCTCGAGCAGCGTGGGCCACTGCGTGCCGTGCGTGATGCCCAGGTCGATCACATGCACCCTCCTCGCCCCCTCCACCGCCTCCAGTATGCTGCCGTTGGCCACCAGGTGGCCGAAGTTGATCCACGGGCAGGCCTCACAGAACACCAATACTGCAGACAGCATGGCCTTGCTGGATGGACCGGGCTGGCTGCCCTGGCGGGATTGCAGCGCCTGAAGGGAAGGGGTCAGAGGAAAAGGGGGTTTGGGGTGGTTGGGTTGGAGCTAAGTTGGTCCGCACACACGCCTGCCTGGTGAGGTGCCTCGATACTTGCCTTGCAGGACACCAAAACCACCGCTGATGGGCATTGCACGCGCTCAGTGGCCCTGCTTGGCTGCTCTGGCGGGAGTGTAGGTGGTGCTGTGCGGTGCTATGGGGTAAGTGAGAGCAGGTGCAGGCGTGTGACGCAGGCACGCACCTTATAGATAGCCGACCCAGTGCCCGCAATCCTGGCAGCCAGAGCCTCCAGAAAGTAGTACCCCAGGCGCTGCTGTGCGGTGCCGTGCGGTGACACGAGGTGCGCGAGGGCGGACATGCGGGAGTGCGCCTGCCCCAGGTCGCGCCTGTCAACTGCCGCTGCACACTCCATCAGCGCCACCTCCATGGGGGACGTCACTGGGCGGAAGGGCGGAGGCAGGGGCGCAGCCAGAGGCGTCGGGCCAGCTGTGGCTGCTTCGCCGGGTGACGTTCCTTGGGGCAGGCTTGCAGAAGCTACTGGTGGTGGTGGTGTGGGTGGCATGGCGTGTGTGGGCGGCACATAGTGGACGCCATTGGGAGGTTGGGGGAGTGCTTGTGGTTGCAAGTGAAGAGCCTGGTTCCATCCCTGCTGCTGCTGTTGCTGTGCTTGCAACGCTTGCTGCTGGTGTTGCTGTGCTTGCAACGCTTGCTGCTGCTGCTGCTGTGCTTGCAATGGCTGCTGCTGCTGCTGCTGCTGCTGTGATTGTAACGATTGTTGCTGCTGTGCTTGCAACGATTGCTGCTGCTGTGCTTGCAACGGTTGCGGGGGAAGAGGGTAGGCCTCAAGGAGCGCAGTGATGTCAGCGCTGGCCACAGAGTCGCTCTTCATGCCCGCACTCAGCACCACCGCCCCCCCCACCTGCCGCCTGCTCTTGCTCTTGCTGCCCCTGCCACTGCTGCTGTTGCTGTTGGCCTTGCAGCTGCTGCTGTGCTTGTAACGACTGCTGCTGCTGCTGCAACGAGTGCTGTTGCTGTTCTCGCAGCATCTGCTGCTGCTGCTTCTGTACTTGCAACGACTGCTGCTCCGCCTGCGCCTGCAGCATGCGATTCACTTGCTGCGCGCACCACTCGCTCTCCGCCCCCCGAGCGCGCTTCCCCCCTTCCTGACTCTCCGCCAGCAGCCTCAGATAGTCCGACGGCACCCTCAGCAGCCCTCCCCCTCTTCCCCCTCCCCTTCCCCCCGCACCTCCCCCCTGCCGCTCTCCGCCCTGCCACGACTGCGCGCCCTGCTGCTGCCCCTGCTGTGCCATGGGGGGTTGCCCCTGCTGCGCCATGGGCGGTTGCGCCAGCTGTTGGGAATACCGAGGTGGCAGCATGGGGGAACGCATTGCGCCTGCGGGACGCACCACCGCCTGCTGCGGCGGCTGCTGCGGCTGAGGCTGCTGCTGCACCTGCGACTGCATCGCCTGTGGGGCGGCGGGCGGAGAGGAGAGCGTCTGCAGGATCTGCTTTTGGCGGAACTGGCTCCCCAGACTCAGCGACCGCGCGCCGGGAATCGCGCCCCCCTTGCTGCCGTTTCCGCTTGCGCCATTATCCCCCCCGCCACCGTTTCCCCCTGACAACGCTGACGTGGCAGGTACTTGCTCGCGCCATCCGCCCATACTTTCCCCGTTTCCCGCGCTCCCCGCAACAGCAGTTTCCCCTATTTGTCCCGCTCCCATTTCTTGCACAGCCGCCTCCCCCTCCGCGGGCCTCTCTGCTTCCCCAACCCAGCAAACGCGCGAAAAGTCCCCCCGCAGCTCCGCGCTCTCAAATGACGTCAGCGTCTGCATGCCTCCAGTGCTTCCGCCCGCTCCCCCCGCGGTTAAGCTGCAATGCGGACTATCCAGCCCTGACAGGCTCTGCGGAGTGATCCCCGCGCTGTCCGCGGAGTCCGCGCGGCGCATGGCATGCACGTCGGGCACCGGGCCGCCCGGCAAGCTAACGGCCGGAACAACACCAACGGCCGGCACGGCAGGAACAGCCGCCGGCAAATCGGCACACGGTGGGCCGGCAGACGAGAGACCGTTCAGAATCTCCCCTATGGAGTCCTGCGCGGGAAACGCAGGCGCAGCGCCATTCGCGGCGGCGATGGCGTTGGCGGCGGCGCTGGCGTCGAGCGGGTCGTCGTCGAAGGCGAGCGCGAAGGCGCTGAGATCGTCGTCGTCGGGCGGAAAGAACATGTCCATCTCCTGCAGCAGCTGCGATATCTGCACGTTGCTCACGTCCCACGCGCCGCCCGCCGCGGACGAGTCCGACCCCGCGTGCTCCGGCGTCGCCGGCCCTACCGCGCCTCCCCACCACGCCGCGTCAACTGCGCCGGTTTCCGTCCGCATTCTCTTCCCGCTCCGCAGGTCTTCCGCCGGCTGCGCGCAGGTTCCGCCATGCGCGGATGCGGACGGCGTCACTAACGAGCTCGTGACCTCCGCGGTGGCGGACCGGGCGCTGAGTGAGTAATGGGCGGGGACATGCGCGGAACCGAGAACAGCGGAAGCGGATTTAACGGCCGAGACAGATACGTAATCCGATGTGCTGACGAGCTTCGGTGAGGAGGTCGAGGGGTCTAGAGGGGGTCGACCGCTCGCGACTTGCTGCGATAAATTTCGCGGTACATCGCCTACCGACGACGGCTGCGACAGTCCTTGCGACGATTCCTGCGATATCGGCTGCCGTCGCGTGCGAATAAGGTCGAGCAGCTGCGACGCTACGTTCTGCGCCGACATGTCATCCATGGCGAAACCCCCTTTAAACAGAATATAATTGTGCTGACTAGAACGTCGTTAACAGAAGAAGACGGAGAAAAGAAGAGATACGTGGAAATGGAGCTAAGAGAACCTTGTTCGTCAAGTAATCCTGGAGCTTCCTGCAAATGCAAGGCAAAAATGTGAACTTCGTTTGATAACTAGGGGGGCTGAGGGCAGCGAGGTGGGAGCGGGTGGGAGGGGTGAGCGTGGGGGCGGAATCACGGACTGTGAATGAAAGGAAGGGCTGGCAGTGGCAAGCGGGTTGGATGGACCAACACGAGCGCGTGCAGCGCAGCCCACCCTACTGAAACCATCGGAAACGTTCCTCACCTTTCTCATTCCAGCTCCACCCCTCATTCCACCCAACCGTGCCCCAATTGCAACACCCTTATTTTCCTCCACCAAATCCGTCACCCTCATGCACTGCCACCAACACCACGTGCAGCACTTGTCGTTAGCTGGACGTGCTACAATCGTCCCAGAATAATCACCAAAAGCACACCTAGGCAGCATTGTGCTACACCTGCAAATTTTATGAGTCTTAAGTTCATTTTGCCTCTGCATTGAACAAGTCACCTGAGAAGTTGTCTGAAAATCAAATGGAGGCTTTCTTAGCATTAATACTAAGACACACTGGTTGTAGCAACATCATAAGCATAAACATTTGGGAGCAAAGGAATGGTGATTGGGTAACATCTGTGGCGCCTTCAACAATAGCGAAAGGAAACCACATGTGTGGGAAGCACCAGATCATTCACATCCTCTTCCCACACCACATAGCGTGAAGGATCATTCACATTGTCAGCTCCCGTGTCAAACCGAAGGACTGCTAGGCCGCTGCTGGGACGACCCAAACGGAATCGCCTCCATCGATCCAAGCGCCACACGGCAAAGCAGCATGTGCTTGCGGCCCTCGCTATCCGCTACCGCAAACTCTGCACTCGTGTAGGCCCTCTGCTCCGGTGCCAGGTACACTCCATCCCCATAGAGCCTGCCATTGCGGGCAGCAGCGGAAGAGGAGAGGGAGAAACCGCTCGACACTATGCGATCCACTGCCATACGAGGGGCCCCGTGCCATGCCAGCCGCACATTGCCATCGCCCCCCCCTTGCTCCCTTCAGCTCTCTCACAGCTTCTTCAAAGGCTTGAGTGCGGGAAGCAGGCAGAAGCACCTGCTGCACTGATGACACTGTCACGGGCCTCATGCCATCCTCCTGCTCCACCACCCCTCCACTCACACTGTTCTGCCGGAAGCTGCTGTTGGGGCGGTCATTTCTATCCCGTAGCATTCCAGCCACAAACCGAGCCACGATTTCGTCGTACTCATCTGTGCCGGACCTCAGAACCTGCAGCCTCGGCAGCTCGTCGTCATCTGAATCAGCTGCACGTTGCCCTGGTTGACGCCGAGCCAAAGGGGTGTTTGGTTCGGAGTCGGGGACATCACTGGAGAGGTCATCAGACATGTGTAGAGCAGCAGGGAGGGCAGCAGCAGCCGCGGCCACTCCAGCAGAGGAAGAAGCCGGCCGTTGCGCATCACCATCACCACCATCATCCTCATCACCATCACCACCATCACCATGCTCTCCATCATGGCGCGGTGACGACGAGAGGCGCGAGACAAACTGAGCGCTGGGCGCCGGTTGCGAGAGCAGGGGGTGCGGGGGAAGGCCAGTGAGGGAGAAGTAGACGGGGCAGATGTCGACGCCCGATTGGGCGAGAGAGCGCAGCTGTTGGTCGTAGCGGTACATGAGGCGCGGGTCCTGGCTGCCCGGGTGCAGCCCCTGGTGCGGGCTGGAAGGGCGGTTCCAGCGGCCGCTGGGCAGCACTCGCCAGCTAATTGACTTGCAGAAGAAGGACGACACGTTGAACTGCCACAAGGGACGGCCGGGTGGTCGATGAGGTGGACAGACGGGAGGCAGGCGGAAGGAGACAAGTGTGGGATGGAGGCGGACAACAATGAGCGACAAGACAATAGACAGCATGCATCAATTCGAGGGTAGAAAGCTCCCTTGCCTGTTCTTGGACTTCTCTGTTTGTGCTGATCTCCACAAGCGTCCCTCACCTGCAGCTGCTGCTGGAAGTCAACGATGTAGTGCGCGCCGGTGGCAGTGGCGAGGGCAGCGAAGCCGACGCCCTCGGCGAGTTCAAAGCCCAGCAGGCGCGATGCGTCGGCGTCGAAGGGGCGCCACTGCCCCGACTCGTAGAAGGCAAACTCCGCACTGTGCTCCAACGCGAACGCTGTCAATGCCTCCTGCACTGCCACGAGACCTCCTGCCATCGCCACGTGGATGGGCATGCTGCCACCCTGGCAGGAAGAGATGGCAAAGAGGAAGGGTTGAGCGCGAGGATTCGGATGCGATGCATGGACGACTGTGGATGAAGGTGGAGGAACGAGGAAGCACGTGGAGAAACGAAGTGGAAGGAGACTCACCCTGTCTCTGATGGCGTAGTCAGTGCCGGCATTGAGCAGATGCGAAAGGATGCCCAGACGGGGGGAGGGACTGGCCGCCAGATAGTGAAGGGGCGTGCGGCCGAACTGCAGTGAAATCACGCACGTTGAGACCGAGGGATGCGCATTAGTCGGGGGAAGGAAGTGCCCGACCAGACGGAACGGGATAGGAAGGCAGGGAGGGTGAGAATGCAGTTGCATGGCGTTGCAAGAGAGGGTATTACTCACATCGTCTTTTCCGTCCACGTCAGCACCCGCAGCAAGGAGCGCCTCGACCATGGCCTCGTTTCCTGCGGCCGCGGCAGCATGCAGTGGGCGACGTCCCACCAGCACCGGCTCACGCGCACGTGCATTCACGTCCGCGCCCTTTCTGAGAAGCTTTTGCAGCTTTGCCGTGTCGCCTTTCACCGCGACGCCATCTATGCTCGAGCCGCTGCTGGTCGACAGACCCGGCACGTGCCACCGCACCATAGTCACGCGTCGAGACGTTCCGCCTTTTGCTCGACGGGAGGGGTCCGCGAGCAATAAATAAAGACTGGACTGGGCCGAAACTCGCTTACTGAAGAAGGCTATCTAACGGAGGTTACAAGATGGTCTACTATTCGCAGTCTTTCCACAATACGTAGTTTCTGTAAAGATCCACCGATAGTCTGGTGCTGCAAGGCGAATTCAGCTCTCTATGAAGGGTAGATAGACGCTTCGCTTCTTGAGCTGCTCAACTGCCTCACCCGAGCCTTGCTGTTCGCTTCTTGACAACTGGATTCGCCATGGAACTTTGTCGGCAATTCCTAGGTGCATCGGTCGTTGAGTCTTCGCAAGCACCGCTCACAGCCGCAAATTGGATTTGGTCAGCTTTTGACGACAGGGACGAAACGGTGATGGAGCTGGGTGGCGAGGGGAATGGTCAGCTGCAAGTTCTTTGCGAAGCGTCTGCGAAATGGGAGAAACCACTGGGAGAATACGGCAACGTGTATCCTTTATTATGCATTCCGAAAACGATTCCTGATTGACTCTACACCGTGGCATGTTCTTCAATTTACCTTAATCTGAGAATCATGATATTCCTTTCCCTCCACCATTCTGACCGCAGCCTCAAGTACTGACCGTTGAGTCCTTGAGTCTGCCTTTCTTCAGTTCCTTGCTCCATAGCGCACGAAGCGCTCTCCCCAGACGTTGCCTAAGGAAACTCTTCTCGTCTTAGAAATCTTCTCACGCAAGTCGCCTAGCGTGTTTCTGCGAGGACTGATTCGTCCACCATGGTACGCATTTCTGCTAATATGCGTTATCCGCGATAATATTCCCGTCGTTCGTGCACCGATTGTTTCCGAAAGAAGTTGGTCCTCCAGTTGGGTCAATCTCGTAGGTATTTTCTCTTAGATTTTATCCTTCAGCGGCGTATGTGTCACAACTGTAACTCCGTCTTTCACTTATGCTTCCCCTACACCCCACAAACCCCCACCCTCTTCTGTCCCCGCCAAACCCCTTTTCTTCGTCATCCCCTTTCCTTGGCATTGAGCGGTGCAGCCGCAGGGCGAGCACATTGAGCTTCATCAGAAGCGCCATGGCTTCCGCTTGGATCACTTCGAGCGGAAGCGCAAGCGCGAGGCTCGGCAAGTGCACAAGACGTCTCAGATTGCGCGGAACGTGAGTCAATTATGGGAATCGGATTGCTCTATTTATTGTTTTAGAGTTTCTCTTAGTAGACCCGGCTCCTGGTACCTCCGGTTCTCGCTCATCGTGTTCCTCCTGCGTGCCGTACTGGATGGAATTTCGCAGACCATCGGTCTCAAGGCGAAGATGTTCGCGAAGAAGCGTTACCAAGAGAAGGCGACGATGAAGAAGACGTGAGTTAGAGTTACCAGTTCTCGTACCCTGGAACGCCAAGTCTTTATCTGAAGTCTCCCATTGTCTCCTTCGGTCGCGCGCTGTTAATCTTTGTCTCGTTTCCTGTACTGCCATCCACCCGCTCGTCTCACTTCCGCCTCTCCCCTTATGCCAACTCCTCCCCGTTCCTCCCCCTTTCCACCGTTTCCCCTTATCCCTCTCCCTCTTCGCCCCCTCCGCTCCACCGTGCAGTCTGGCAATGCACGCGGAGCGGACGAACAAGCACAAGGCGGACGCGCCAGTGGCGGAGGGCGCGGTGCCGGCGTACCTGCTGGAGAGGGAGGCGACGGCGCGTGCCAAGGTGCTGAGCAACACCATCAAGCAGAAGCGCAAGGAGAAGGCCGGCAAGTGGGACGTGCCTCTGCCCAAGGTAAGGCAGCTTTGATGCATGGCGTGATGCTTCACTGAGTTGACTTGGCATCACATGCGGTTTCATGGTGTGGGATCGGGTGATTTGCTGCACAGCAGGTCTGCTACTGCACACCTCACTGCACCGTCAGCCATATTGCTTTTTCCTATAACCATACTCCTCTGCCTCCCTTTGCGCTGTGCACTGCAGGTTCGGCCGATAGCAGAAGATGAGATGTTCAAAGTGGTCAGATCAGGGAAGAGGAAAAGTAAGCCTGCTCAGCCTCGCCCCACCCCTCGTTCACTTTCGCTTGGCTCTGATTGCGGTTCAAGTCAAACTGGTTCAACTGCACATTCTGCTCTCTCCTCTTAGATGGTTTCTGACTCAGTTCCTTCTCTTATCTGAATTGCCGCTTTGCCTTCTTGTGTGCAGCCAAGCAGTGGAAGAGGCTAGTGACTAAAGTCACCTTTGTGGGCCCAGGGTTCACTCGTAAGCCACCCAAGTATGAGCGCTTCATCCGCCCCATGGCTCTGCGTTTCACCAAGGTGCGCCACCAGCTCCCTCACGCACCCCACCCCCTCCTCACTCACGCCGCACTCTCACTCACCCCACACTTTCACTCCACCCCACACTCTCACTCTCTGCGCACTCCTCTCACTTACTGCAGACTTGCATCACCACATCCCGCTGCCCCCTCCAACCCTCCAATTTCTCTTCGTGTCAGCAACTGTTGTGCTACTAACACCCTGCTTCTAATGTGCTGCTTGCATGCATGCATGCAGGCGCATGTGACCCACCCAGAGCTCAAGTGCACGTTCCATTTGGACATCATCAGTGTGAAAAAGAACCCCAACGGCCCCATGTACTCGTCCATGGGGGTCATCACCAAGGGAACCATCATTGAGGTATGCATGCTTTGCACATGCACTGCGCGCATGCTCGTATGCATACATGCATGCAGCTGCAGCCATGCGGATCCGTCTGATATCCTCCTCCTTGCAATGGTCCCATGGTTTCTGTTGTTGTGATTCTTTGGGGTGTGTTTTGTATCACGTCTCCACTGCCTCATCCTGTTACCCCTTCATTCCGCCCATGCCTCCCGTTGTTTACTCCAGGTGAACGTGAGCGAGCTTGGGTTGGTCACACCAGCTGGCAAAGTCATTTGGGGTAATGCTGTTTTATCTGCTTCCGTTTCCACTACTCAATTTGATTCTTCCTCTTCCTCTGCTGCGATTAATGTTTGATGAGTATCCTGACGGTGCTTGCTTGTTGTGCAGGTAAATACGCCCAAGTAACCAACAACCCAGAGAATGATGGTTGTATAAATGGAGTACTATTGGTGTAACCTTGGTATACTATGTACATTCTGGCATTCAGTAGTGGTCCTGCATCTTATCATTCTGTGAAAAAAACGCGAGTCTAAATTGCGGTGGCAATGAACTAAGCTCGTGTGAGATGCGTTACGAAATGGTGCTGGTCACCTTGGGCTCAGATCCTTAGCACGGCCCACTTATAGCGCAGCGGAGATGGGCAATCTGCTCATCGCAGGAATCTGATCATCTGAGCATATCTACGGCACTGATCAGATGAAAACCAGCATTCGCCATTCCCATGTCCGAATAAAAAGCTGGCTCCGTAATTATTCCAGGAGAGCGAGCGGCGACACGAGCGTGAAAAGTCTAAGCGGCTTTGACTCGTCTGAGCGTCAATCTTAGTCACGAATACGTCGTTAGTAGCTTAGCGTCTCGCAATGGCGTGTCTCGCATTAGCGCTGCAGCCGGCACAGGGACCAGACCTGCTGCTTCAGACGTAAGGGACATTCGTCTAGCAGCCGCGACATAGTTGTCGTGTCATTTAGTATTCGTGTCAATAGCTGTCATGTCATGTATCAGACGTCTGATGGGTAGTGTCATCAAGCCGTTACATGTACGAGTTGTGTCATGCAACACTCGTGTCATGTATCAGCCATGTCTTCTAGCAATCGCGCCAACTAGCAACGGTGTCATCTAGCGGTCATGTCATCTAGCTGTCGTGTCGCCCTATGCTAGTCAATACGGCGCATCAGTCCAGTCGTGAGCATCACGCAATCAGGCCTCAGGAGTTCCCATTGTCCGTTGATCGCTGGCAAATATCAACTCTCGCCATTCCCCACCCTACCGTACTCCCATCTAATCCGCAGCCGTCTCCGGCTTCACTGTTGCATCTCCCGTCCCTCAATGTTCTCGCCGTTGCTTCCCCATTTTTCCCCCGATTCCCCCTGAGTCCGCCGCAGCAAGGTATGGTTTCCCCCCCAAGCGCGCGTTGGCGGCGTGTCAGAGCTTCCGCACGACGCGGCACGCGGACAGCAGCGTGCGGCATCACGAGCAGCCAGCGAATCAGGCGCTCATGCTCGATCGCCTCGGCGACGACCCGCTGGCTGCTGCGAGCGGGCAAGTCGTCGTCGGCAGCGACCGACGGTGCGTGCGACGGAAATCAGGGAGGAATTAGGAAAAACTGTAGTGCATTCTTTCTCGCGCACACTGCGAGGCGTAGCGTGCCGTCATGAGGACAGCACCTATATGCTGGGCTCGCCCGCTCTCCCATCACCTGCTCCTCCCTTCCTCCACACTCGGCCCCCCATCACTGCTCCTTCCCTTCTTCCGCCGGTGTGAGCGCGCAGGTACCGCGTGGTGTACAGGCTGGTGAACAGCATCTACGTGCTGGGGCTCATGCTGGCGGACGACGATGAGACGTCGCTCAACGTCTACAGCTGCATCAGCACCGTCAACCAGGCCGTCAGGTGAGCATTTTCATCTGCAGTCTTTTGTTATCAACGCTTCATGCACAAGTACGCGAGTGCTTCAACGCGTTGTTCAACCTCCCGGCATTGTCCACCCGTTATACCCCATAACCCATGGCTCCTGTCCCACATGCCCTGTGCTGCATGCCCCATGCATGGTGCGCAGTGTGCTGGTGGCGGCGTGCAGGGCGTGGATGTCACACCGGAGAAGATATTCCGCAAGTACACTGAGGTGAGCACACACTTCATGTCGTGCCACTCTCGCGTTTCATCCACCTTGCCTTGTGCACTCTCTGGCCTCCTTTTCCCTCTCCCCGCCCCTTGAACTGGCAAACGGCAACCCCCATTTCCTCCCTCCCACCAGGTCTACATGGCGTTCTTCTACGTGCTACAGGGCACGGAGCTGGCGCGCCTTTCTGCGGTGCTCTCGTACGTGGCGGGCGACGGTGTTTTGTGACTAGCGCTGCTCGTGCCACTCGCCACCAACACCCTCGCCGACGGGGAGAACCGCGCGCGCGGCGCTGCCAGCTGGCGTGTGGCTAATGCCGAGGCGGTGGAGCGACTGGCGAGCGTGGAGGTGAGGGAAGGGGTGGGGGAGAGGGGAGATGGGTTGTGTGAGTGATGAGGGGGAGAATTGCACTAGCGGTGCTGCCAGCTGGCATGTTTCTTAATCGGAGCAGTGGAGCGATTGGCGAGCGTGGAGGTGAATCGGAGGCGAGGGAGAGAAGGAAGTGGCGAGGAAGGGCTCGTGACGGTGGTGTTGAGGTGCGACCGTTGACGAGGGGACCTCCAGGGGGGCTGGGTAGTGGTGAAGTGATATCTTCATCATAGTATTGTTCATTTGCCCTAGTCCCAAGTTTCCAACCCAGCCACGTTCTTAAACTCCCCTTCCCCCCCCACCCTCCTCTCATTCCCCTCCTTCGCAGTACATGTCATCAGCGCACATTCGAGCTACCAGAGGAGGCCATAGCAGCGGGCGACGAGACAATGGAGGCGTTCGCCCCGGTCGCCTCCCAGCCCTGCCTCTCGAAGCCCCCCCCCGCGCCCCCCACGCCCTCTCCGCGCCCCTCCGCGGCCCTCGGACCTCCCTGGCGGCGCTGGCGCTGCTGGGCTCCGCGGATGACCCCTTTGCCGCCAGTGACAGCCTGCTGGGAGGCGGGGGGGGACGAGCTCGCGCTGCTGGACGCGGGTCCTGGGGGAGCGGGTGGGGTGGGGGATGTGGCGGCAAGCAGGGGGTGCGGGGAAGAGGCCAGAGAATGATCCCGCATCGCTGCTTGGGAGCTCAGAGGTGAGATGCGCCTCCTCTCATGTTCTCTAAACATTCCTGCCTAATTCTCTTTCTTCGTGCCCACTCTTGCTTCTTTCCCACTTCCCCCCAAACGTCTCTTACTCCGCTCCGTCTGCTGTCCACCTGTGTCGGCGTGCCTTGCTGCATTTGCCTGTCCTCTTGCCCCGCCTTCTTCAACCTCCCACTTCCCTGCTACCTCTCTTCCTTCCCCTCTCTCCCAACCCACCCTTTCCCAAACCTTCTCCCCCCATCCTCCTCCCCTCCCCCATCCCCTCCCCTCCCCCTCCCCTCCCCCTCCCCTCCCCCTCCCCATCCCCCTTCCCCTCCCCCTCCCCATCCCCATCCCCCTCCCCCTTCCCCCCCCAGGCGGGGCTGTCCTCCGCGCCCCCCCCTCCGCGCTGGACCCCTTCGCGTCAGACAGCATGGCGGACGCGTTTGGGGCGGACCTGGAGGCGGAGGGGCTGGGGGGCTCGCCGCGCTGGGGGACGACGAGGGGGACGACGCCTGGGGACGGCCTTCGGGGGGGAGCGCGCTGCTGGGGGGGGATGGGGACGCGTGGGGGGGAGGGCGGACGCAGCAGAGTTTGGGGTGGAGCAGGGGGAGGAGGACGCGTTTGGGCTGGGCGGCGGGGGGACCTGGGCGCGGCGCTGGGGGGGGGAGATGGGGCGGCAGGGGGCGGTCAGCGGTGGCGGCTGCACGGCAGCTGGAGGTGGCACTTGGGCTGTGGCGCCATGGATGGTGAGACTTCTGCGCACTCAATGTCTTGATGGCAATCTATTATCCCCCCCAATCTCCTTTTGCCGACTCAAAGCCGTATCTTCTCGCCTTTTCTGTTTCCTCCCCACCCCTTCCCTTGCAGTGTCAACCCCAGCAGCCAGCACGCCGCCAGCAGCAGCAACACGGCCACGCCCAGCGGGCCCCACACAGCCCACGTTCCGCGTGGAGGAGCGCATCAGTGCGGACTCTTCCTCGGGTCCTCGCTCACGCGCGTGCGCCTCTCCGGCACCGTCTTCCTCGCCCCTCCCAACGCCCAAGGCCGCAGCGCCGCTGCAGGGGGGGCGATGGGGGGTGGCGGTGGCGCTATTGGTGGGGGAGGCGGGGGGGGCAGTGGGGCGGGGGTGGGTGGAGGAGCGGAGAAGGACGGGAGTGTGGCGGACGAGTTCTCCTTCCGATTGGAGGGCTCTGGCGCCATCAAGGTGCGTGCCCTGCCTGCTCTGTTGTGCAGGAACCCTTGCCTCTCCTCTCCTCCCCCCACTGCATTCCCTCACATGCTCCCCCTCCCGTCCACACGCCCCTCTGCTGTCCCTCTCCTCCGCTTCTTGTCCATCCACCCCCTCCCCCACCCTCTCCCCCCCCCTTCCTCCCAGCGCTGCACCATGCGCCCAGGCATAGTGAGCGACCTGGGGAAGGGTTATTTCCTACTTCCGCATGCCTCCCCCCGGCACCACCTTCCCCCCGCTCTCCGCCCCCTCTGCTGTCACAGCCTCCCCCCAGCCACCCCCCATGGCGGACCTGCTGGGGGACGGGGACGAGGGCATGGGGGAGGTGGTGAATCCCCGGGAGGGGGATGCGTGGGGGCAAAAGGGAGGGGGCGGGGGGGGCGGAGGGGCGGGCGCAGGAGTTTGTGCTGATGAAGTATCGCCTGCAGCCGCGGTACACGCCCATTCCGCTGCGACTCAGGTGCGTGCGAGGCTAGCGTTTTCCCAGGATGGTGCTGTAAACTGTGGTAGAAGCTGGACAAAGGTGTGATTCGAAAGGCGTGGACTCTGTTCTACAAAATGAATCTTGGTTTGGTCGGCTCAAAACGTCTTAGACTGTGGCTGAGCATGGATGGTTGGTTGGTTGATGCCTCTGGCTGGACCATCTGTGTGCTCCTTTCGCCCCCGCTCTCACCTCTCATTCAGTGTTGCTCTATTCAACGTTTTCTTGTGCTTTGCCTGCCATCGCTGCCTGCCAGGTTCGTGACACGGAGGAGTGATGAAGCGCTCTCACTCATGATCCAGGTTCGTGCCTCTCCACTTGCTAGCAGGCCTCACCTCTTCACTTGCCAGCACCCCCTCCCTCTTAACCCCAGTTGTGCTCCACATGTCATTTGGCACATGTCAAATTGCACATGTCATTTGGCACATGTCAAATTGCACATGTCATTTGGCACATGTCAAATTGCACATGTCTCTCACTCCCAGCATTCCTCTTATCCAAGCACACGCCCCACCTGTAAATGATGCGCGTGCGTATGGCCAATCCATGCATTCTCGCGCACCTACACACACACCCCCCTGCGCCCCCTCCTCGCAGTACGTGGCGAACCCGTACCTGCAAGCACCGCTGATGAATGTCACCTTCATCCTCTCCCTCGCCTTCTCCCCTGCCTCTCTCCGCCTCAACCCAGAGTAAGCTCCTTCCCTCCACAAGCAGCATTTTTATTAACCTAACCGCAGGATTTGCCATTTTGGCATCTTGTTCCTGCGTGCAATGTTTCTCGCATTCATTTACCTGGTTGATCCCTGCAGAATGGTCAAACCAAGCCCACCTGCGTGCATGTTTCCTCTTTCCTGTGTTGGCGTCTCCACTCGCCGTGATCCCTTACTTCCTGGCAGGGCACAGCTTGACCCATGGACTAAGGAGCTGAGGTGGCATGTCCCACAAATCAATGTATGTGCCATCACCCACATCAATGCTCCCAACCACTCTTCCTGACAACCCCTGCTCCCATTTCCACTCCATGTACTTCCATTGTCGCATTTTGTTGACCTTTTTTCAGCCAGAATTTTTCCTCCTTAACTCTGCTCCAGCAACAATCCTTTCCTCACCTTCCAAATCCACCTCCGCTCTTTCTTCCACCCACCCAACCACCCACCCCACCATCTGCCACCAGTCCAATGACCCACCGCAGCGCCTGAGGCTCAGATCCCCGTGATTCCAGATGACTTGGTGCACGGGGCGCAGAGAGGACAGCGGAGGAGAAGCAGGCGGAGGAGGACCGCAAGGCACGGGAGATGGCGGCATACCGCGTGCGCGTGGAGTTTGAGTGTAGAGGGTCGTCGCTGTCAGGCGTTACTGTGGGTGAGGTTATGGCTTCAGGCAAGCCACCATTTGCTGTGGCAGGGCATTCGTTTTCCTCTTCTGAGTATATCTGCTCGTGAGGTAGTCGTTTGGCATTGTTCTCGGACACGAGCCTATTAAAATTATCACAATTCACAATGCTTATACATGGAGGTTTTATGATACTAGCCAGTGCCTAAGGTACAGAGGATGCAGTACCACTATTGAATGGACACCTTCACTAGAAATTCAATCTGGAGTTTGAAATGGCAGCATCTAGGGGGGATTAGGGCAGAATGGGACGGACATAATACTAAGCAAGAGGAGCTAATGAAGCCCATGTGGAATGTATAAAGATGCTGTATGTGCCCAGGCGATGCACACAGGCAAGCTGAAAGACAGGTGAAGCAAATCAGTTGCAATGACAACGGGAGCAGACGTAATAAACTCCGAGACTTGCATCACAACCGCAGGGACGGGCGAAGGAGGACCTCTAACAAGCTGCATCCGACGGACGCACGGAGCTAATCGTCTTAAATGGCCGTTGGAATGGGAACAGTACTTCTCCTCCAAGGAACGACAGAAAACTTCCAGATTCATTGTCATCCAGGAAAAGGTCGTCAGGGACCCTGAAGGCGGCGTGCGCAGCGATCGCAGCAGCACCCATCACCAGACCCGACATGAGAATAGATCCGACGGACGTCAGCCCGAAGACGACAACGACGGATATGACCGCCATGGCAAGAAAACTTCTCGCGTTCGTTAAGGGTCCTTCCAGCGATGATCAGCGCATCCGTGCGAGCCATGAAGATGTATACCCAAGCGGCTGCGAGGAGAGCTAGCCAGAGAATGGCAGTCGGATTCCAGAGCATGCAGAGAATAACGACGACGATAAGGATCGAGAGGTAATTCGCCTGAAAGTAACTAGTATTTTTGCGAATTCTCCCAAGCGCATCGTTAAGGTTGTCGGGTCTCGCGAACAGTGACCGATCCGTCAGCTCGCTCCATGGCCGCTGCTGCGCTATCGCATCCGATAAGAATCCTGGACTTTAGCTACAAGCGCCCGCATCCCTGTCGGATTTCCTCTACCGCACCTCCAGGAA